ATCTAGCACTCTTAGTTTAGTTCCTTATATTTAATATAAGTTATTTACTTAAGTACAAGATCACTAGTCTAATTTATTAGTTACTCTTTCACTATTAAGTATACATACTTAATAGGCCTTGCTTCTATCTTTGCTATTATTATTCTTATATTACCTTAACTATCCTTAATCCTACTTAGATCATTGTATCATTGCATTATTAGGCTACCTGGTTGGTAGGCCTTAGGCAAGTATTAGATATAGTCTAGGGACTATATCACTCCCAGAGTTAGTGACTAGCAGGAACAGCAGAGACGGATCCCAGGGTGTGACAGATATCTATAACTTTAATAAAATAGGCTTTGCAATGGGCTTAATTATAACTACTAAGGTAGTAATAAGAGCTAATATACCTAGAAAGCCTTATCTCATTCAGCCAGGTAATCAGGAATGGGTTATAATAATTAAATATATTAAAACTACTGGCTAGGTGCTTCCTTCTTGTATAATCTTTAAGGGGAAGGTTTATATTAAGGGATAGTATTAAGATCACACTCTCCTATCTAACTAGAGAATTGAAGTTAGTTAAAATGGATGGATAATAGATGAGATAGGCCTTTAGTAGCTTTAAAAGATCTTTATCCCTGTAATGACTAGCTATATAGTTAGAAGATATTATCTTCTTATTATAGATAGCTATGGAAGCTATCTAATGCCTAGCTTTAATAAAGCCTGTAGGGATAATAATATTATTACCCTCTGTATACCTGCTTATTCTTCTCATCTCTTATAACCACTAGATGTTGGTTGTTTTAGCCCTTTAAAGCGTGCTTATAGAGGCCTTATTGAGTAAAAGATGTGCTTAGGATATAACTATATTAATAAGTTAGACTTTCTTAAAGCATATCCAGCAGCTTATCTAGAGGTCTTTACACCTCTAAATATTTAGAATAGCTTTGTGGCAGCTAGAATCCACCCTTTAAAGCTAGAGAGGGTGCTTGAGAAGCTAAATATCTATATCTTAACCCCTACCCCCCCTCTGAGCTGTGTAAGTTAATTAACTAACTTATCTTAGCTTACTACACCTCATATACTTTAGTAATTATGTAAGTAAGCATCCTTAGTTAAGAAGCTCCTAAAACAACACTCTTAAAGCCCTTTAATGCCTTTAAAATTAGCTATACAGCAGCTTATTAAGAGTTATAAGATGGCTATGCACAGTGCAGCCCTACTAGTAAAGGAGAATCATGATCTACATACAGCTAATAAGAAGGAGAAGCAGAAAAGGAAGTGATCTAGATGCTAGATAACTCCTAATGAAGGACTCTGCATTCAGGAAGCTAGGGATCTTATCCAGGCAAGAAATGACTAAGGGAATGAGATTAGGGGGTTATCTGTTAATTCCGCGCCTTTACCTTTAGAACCCCTAAAACGCGCGCCACTGAGGTGTTCTAATTGCTTTAATATAGGGCATACTAGAACTAGATGCCCTACACGCCATACTAGCTAGATCTAATAAAAATATATGGCATTTTGGTTGATTTGGATAGCTTCAGGATTCAAACGCGTTGAAATTCGATGAGGGTGGCCGGCTGACGCGGGTGGCCGGCTCACCTGGGAATTACGTTATCTCCTGAAAAGCACATCGTATTCAGTTTGCCAGATTCATGGATATTAAAGGAATCTGTCTCCAGGATAAAACCTGTGACCCCACCACCTGGGAACTATTTGTAAGGTGCACTAGTAGTTCAGAGAAACTTCCCTTTGATGGTGGCGGTCACAGTCTCTCAGGGGCGAAGAACCAACAACTCCAAGGCGAGGACGGAGATTGGAGGCACCATCCATGGTGGTGACCACTCTTCAGCCATCAAGCAACCTGCGACCCTCAGGATCCAGCTCGTCCACATGATTCTCGTGGCTGAGAAGTATCGCATCAATCAGCGGTAGGTCGTGAAGCTGGAGCCTTACCCCTTCATAACTGATAAGGTGTGGTGGTAGCGGTATGGTTTCAACTTTTCAAGGCCAAACGTCTTTCCATCCGCATTCTCCCAAGTTTGCGTGAAATCGTACTCGGTCCCATCAAGGACGCCGAAAAACGGTTGGCAAGATCATATGATAGGCGGTAATAATCAACTCTACAAAATTTACCGAAAAAATAGAAGAAAGAGGCGAAGAAAAGGGGAGAAGAGAAAAGAGAAAGAAAACAAGAAAGGGAAAAAAAGGGCCTGGATTCATGCCTCCCCCTTCAGCACGTCAAAGGGCCAGTCCCAAAGTGGTGAGCCGGCCCCCTTCGCTTCATCTACGCAGCAATCCTAGCTACTTAAGCGGCTTCTCAGTGCCCTCGCTACGACTTTTCTGAAGTCCGGTTCTCCAGTCTCAAGATGGGGCGCTTCCAATGTCCCGAAACCCCTAATCTCATCTGCAACCACAGTTACTACCGCTGCAAAACCCGCAGCCGATTCTCCAAGGAGTCGTTATCCCAGCTTGCAGGTGAATAGAGAACCATGGCGCCCTCCCTGGCGCCCGCCATCACCTCCCCGTCAGATACTGTTGCCAGTTGATAGCAAACTTGGTAGGCGGGGATCGTCATCATGCCATTGCTTTTTAAAATGATTATATTCCGCCGCCGGCTTGTGAGGCTCGCTGGAACAATGGAGAATCAAATGAGATGCAGTCAAGCTTGAGAGCTCGCAATCCAGTTATGCGAGAGGAATTCCCTGGTAAGTGGGTGTAGGATACCCTTGGGGGCTTCAGACGTCCTAGCACGCCAAACAGTGCCAATGCCAAAACTGTTTTCAAGCCAGGCTACGTCGGGGAATTATGGGAGGTAGATGTTGGCCTGGGAAAGTCAGATAGGTTTCTATATCCCGTTTTATCAAGTATTTGGCCGGGCCTGTGAAGGAGTAGAGCCTATGATAATCATGAGCAATATCCTCAACTGATTTTGTTGGACACTTAAAAAGACATAGGATCCTTTTCATCCAACAGCCCAGGAGCCTACACCTATAGTAATTACTAGATATGGAAGTCTAGGCTATAATTTCCTAGCTCTAGATAAGCGTAAGAATATAATTAAACCCCTTTACTCTCTTTTTCCATCTATAATAAAGTTATATTTTACTATAATATTAATACCTATAGCAACATTATAGCTAACTATAGCCTACTTAATCTATTATATATACTAGAATAGTTAGACTTATATATACTATTATAGTAGAATAGGCCTTATTGGTCTTTAGACTAAGACAAGACCAAGAGTTACTAGAGTATAAGTTCTCTCTTTTAGGCAAGAAAATATATATTAGTTAACTAGTATATAATAAGGATCTTTATAGGGTATATATAGTATAGGATATACCTAATCTAAAGAACTTCACACTAAGTATTAGGTTTATTTTATAAGACTAAAACTCCCAGTATGTGGAGGTTCTTAGGTTACCTTGCACGGGCATCATGTGCAGGGTATTATAGTACTGGAGGAAGAGGGATATTCCCGCCTCAAATAGCCATGCCTGAGTGAGGGCTGCCAGGGGTATAAAACGCTACTACACGTAACTTGATCTAGTCATCAATGGTCGTTGAGATGTGGTTTATTCTGACAGCAGCAGGCCGCGCTATCATTGCTCAGATACCTTACTTTTCTATACATTTCAGCATATCTTCACCCAAGGGAAGCCTGCCCGGCTACATTACACAGTATTCAATCCCAGTTTCTCCAAGTTTCTATGTTCATACCCCAGAGTACTTCTGAGTCTTCAACTCATGAATCCACAAGGAAGCCCAGCTTTCTGCTGATGCAACTATCCAGTATCAAATTGACTTGCTTGGAAAAGAAAACATTGGCAAGGTAATGGGTAACTGCGACACATTCTGTTGTGACTAAACCACGCTCTGAGTATCCATTTTGCCGTGCGGAGAGACTTGCCTTCGCTACAAGCATGGCGGGCTTCGTATTCATACATGATGATAACTATATGGGCCATTACATGTCCGAGCATAGGTCATAAAGGAGAGAACCTAATTTGTTTGCTTAACATATATTGCTTATGCAGAGGCTATTCAAACAGTACGTCAACTTAGTTCTAATCAGACTCAGGATCGATGTGACAACTTTAGGAAAAATTCGACATAGATAACCGGTTTCGCGCAACTGGGCGGTTCTTAAGGACTTGTGGCATTTCGAGACACCAAAGTAACGTAGCGAACCTAATCGAGACGGGAGTGCTGAACTGGCTCCGCCTTGTGGTGGTCGCAATCTGGATCATCTCTTATAGAACTCAATCGTTCCAAGAGAAGGCTTCTTGCCTCCAGTGCAGCTGGAATATTTAATTCAGTCAACCGATACCTCTTTGAGGCTAAATGAAATGTTATATAGCCATGCAGAAAATTCTCGGCAGCCCGCTGCAATGGCTCGTCGCTAGACAAAAGACACTGGACTCTCTGAAATGCCTTTTTGGCTCTCTCTGCGAACCACTTTAGAGATTCCAAATGGCTGAGATGGTTCGCACTCGCATGGGCGTGTACATGGATCGCGTCTTTCATTGTTTCTTCCTTGTAAAAGGAGAGAAGATCATTGGCAATATTCAAATAGTCGATTATTGCAGGCATGGCCGCGAGATATTTGTCCAGGTAGCGGTTTTCTGGAAACAACTCTTCAGGGAAAGACAGAAAACCGTACGCTTCACTGGTTCCGGACTTATAACGAAAATAGTCGGTGAAATCGGAAGTGCTCTGTGTGCCACGCATGCAGGTGTCATCGAGCTCGTAGAAGCCGGCGGAAATGTAATTGATCAATGATTTTATAATCATATTTCCGCCAAAGTTGCCGAAGAGCCTGCAATAATTTCTTAACCAGCTGGTCATGGCCCGCAACAGGGGATGACCGTGCGAATCACCGCTCACTAACTCCATACAGTATCGTCGAAGATCACCCCTCATATCCTTTGCAAGGTTGTCAATAGCAGCATAAAGTGCGGTCTTCACTGCAATGGCCTCCTGCACGCCCTGTGGGGCGTATGAATAGGAGGCAAGGGCGTAAACGGCGCCCGCCTCAATCTCCTCTTCAAGCCTTCGTATCAGTTCCTCTGGAATGCCTTCCATTTTGAATTGGTTCTGTATGCGGCTGATCAGTGATGCATCATTGTTTATAGTCGGACACTGATAGCTTATTCCTCGAAGGAAAGTATTGATAAGCGTCTCGTAGTCTTGTTTCGGTACAGTGCTTCCCAGACACAGTTTCTTGGGTGTCTCAGTGACATAATGGCCGCAAAGTACCGCATACAGTCCAATGAACAAAATAAATGAGAACAGTAATGTGAAGCAGCCGTATACCCAGTGAGGCTGAGTAAATATAAACTGCGTGTCCATAGTATTCACAAGGCTTACGATTTCAACTGAGAAACAAGCCCAGAATTCACCCTGAAGCTGAAGAATTCAACGTTGAGATAACTGTGAGTGATGAAAGGCTCCCTGTTAAAATTTACCGCAGAGATCAAGGGGGCTTTTATAATCAGACAAGGGATTAACAGCCAGATTAGGGGGACACTGGCAGAGCGGATGCGAGCAAAGACACTAAACACTGAGGACTGTGAGATCGATTGCTACTGTACCACTACGACCAGAATGCCTCCTGCATCATGCCAGTTTGCGCTTCTTTGGTTAGTGTAGCCCAGAAGTAGGGAGGCGACCAGACTGTGTGGACGCGTATATATTCATTAACACGGATCTACAATGTCATTATCAGACTTTAGTCCATGACATATACTGCATGCCGACGAAAGAAGAAGGATGGGGCCACAAAATCAGATACCTGCATATTTCGTTGTCCGGCTGGCGTACGGGCTAACATCATTGTCTACAGCAAATATAGGCAGCTGAGGTACCGTGGAACTCTGTAAGAGGCAATGCCTTTTGCAAAAAGCATAGTAAATGACCATACGGTAGTTGCATAGTGCTTTAGAGACTACCTGTACAGCAACACCTGACAGTTCTCAACTTTTCCTATTGCCTTACATGCTTCAACCATGGACCCGAGTCGTTTTCCAGTGTCTATAATGTAACCTCACAAATATGGGCCCATACAATCACTATTCGGGGATTCTTGCCGCCCGTTACCCAATTTCCTGGTGCAGCTACTTCAAATGATCTACTCGCTTTGCGTCCTCTGATGAATGAGCCCTTACAATGTTGAGGGAAGTGTGGAACTTGTACTGACCAAAGGTATTGCGAACATGGCAAGTGACCTCTACATATAGACCAGAATGAGAAAAGCACATGTCAAAGGAGACTAATACACTAGTATCAGTCAGTCAGGCATTATATTAATACATATTGCAACACGAATTTGATACAGTCATCAGGAAGATAGTGGCTTCAATTAATACCACAGATAGACCACGGATTGACACACTCACTGCTATTACGAGTCACATTGAGCTATTCAGGGGATCATTTCTAAAGCGATGTCATATTCCACGTATGACTACATCTAGCAAAAGAATGGCTTGAATAATGCTACTGCCGGGATGAATTTTTGAAAAAGCCATCCAAACCATTAATGTATTGGCATCGTCAGTGTATCTCTTGCAGTCTTGAACAAATTACAACTTAATTTAATTTGAGGGTTTTATAAAATCCATTCATTATCACTCTGTATGTGCGCCAAGATTATTTAAAAGGGGTCCTGATCCTCGCTCAACCTTTTGCTGATGATTTTCTGGTGCGGGAGTATCTAGACATGATGACCCTTTTAAGTCGTGCATCCACATATTGTTTTCTCTACTGGTTGTTTCCAACTGCTAAGTGCTCTCCTGAAGAATTGATTCAAAGCTCATAATTCAACATGCCAGTTACTACCTTCTTTTTCATGACGCCATTCGTCATATCCCTATCAGCCCTCGCTGGCGAACCATTTCTTTGCGTTCTAGTCTTCTTAAATCTTTTGATCGTCCTTGCACTGTTGGCTGCCTTAAAAGCCAGTCAACCGGATGATCACCTCAGGGATGCAGTGTTAGGAAGGAGACGTCTCTCCGGCAATTCTTAGCAGGCTGGTTAGCGCGCTAGGATGATCGGTATAGCTCGCACCACATGATCTAACAACACTGTTGATTATATCATGACCGAATTTTCGAGCTTTCACCTACATATGACGACTAATGTCTACAAGGGGCTCTGTCGTTCTCCTATAGCAACATATTTGCAAACGCCACGCGTTACATACTTCTCGCCAGGACTCGACAGTTTTCGTTGGTTGGCAACGGCTGTATGCCTATGGATGTCGTTTCATTTGTAATCAGATCATGCGTTCCAGAGTTTTGTCTAGTATGCCCTGCATAATATCACGAATAACCTAGTTAGTTTCCTTCCCAACTGGGCTGGTCGCAAGCGCTTGGACGACAATGAATGCAGCTCCTTAAATTAAGCAAAGCTAAGTGCCTTATCAGTTGCATGCGCTGTCATTGGTGACAGGAGCAGGGCACTTGCAGTTCCTACATTTCCCGGCATCTGCACTATCTTCTCAAAGAGTATAATGGCCTGCCGAGAATTAGGCTGATGAAAAATGAGTACATCGACATGATACTTGAGATATTGAAAACAAAGCACTGATCATGCCCTAAACAGTCCATGAGTGGGATTTGGCTAGTCCCGGGCCCTCCTCAGCGAATGGAACTCTGGAAGTGAATTTGATAGCACCTCGCTTTCCAAGTTTTTGGTTTTGGCGTGAGATAGGGAACATATACTACTCAGGGCACTACATCCCGGGTCTCCGCAGACCCTTCCTTGCATGACAATCGCATTTACTCCACGCACATTAGCACCAAACCATCCGCAAGCACTGAGGCGGGAGGCCCCCGCTGTGTCCACCACGACTTTCATATCACTTAGGACTCCTGGGACAAAAATGAACTTTGGTGTGTTACATCTGCTATCTCTAATCCGGGAGGAGTTGCGATCTCGACCGCACGGCTATGTCAGGAAGTACCTCGACGTATTAAGGAGCCATACTTGGGATCAGGGCAAGTGCAGGATGGCAGGTCCCGGAGCACAATGATCAATTGTGGAAGGTATGGGATAACCCAGTTTTCGATTGGCTCAATATCGACCTCCCGGCCGGTGATTAATGCAAGCTTATCCAAACGACACAAGTGGTCACGCCGACAAGAACTTTGGTAAAGAAGCAGAGCTCCACCATTACTGATGCAGCATAAAGAGCGCCAGATGCCGCAAGAAAACTCTCGGGATTTGGTTTTGCGGGAGGAATTGCCTGACGTTTCCGGGCCGAATCCTTTTCGATACAATGTCCACACGCACGATAATGAAAACCTCTCAGATCAGGCCAATCGAAATCTTTAAAATATGCTCAGACCATGGTGAGCAGGATGATCCAATGAAGTGACTCTCATTACCCGACTGTTATCACAAGGACTTACCGTTTTTCAGCATAATTCAGATGATCAGATCCGAACCATCGACGACTGAAGCGGCAGTTGAGATTCGGCCAAGAGCTAATTCCACACGGCTGAAATTAAATGGCCTTCTCTGCTCAATAGAGCAGTTTCATCTGTGTAGATGCGCTATGCATCCAGTGATAATTACATTTCCCATTTTATAAGATAAAGTTTGGTAAAGTTACTACTAGATGATTAACCATCTAGGCGGTTTGATGGATACATGAGTTGCCGCTATCATCTTATCCTCAATCTAATTGTCGGCATGTGAGATAATAATGCCAGTTTTTCTTAAATGGATGTAAGCATGATTATGGAACGAATACATTGGGAATACTACCACTCGAGTATTAAGTGCAAAGTCGCAAGTATCCCACCAGAACTTAAAGAGAGTTTTCGGGTCGTGCTCGACGTTCATTTGATCTCACCTGTTAGGAAGGTAGAGTGCCAGGAAACACAGCTGTACTTCCATCAGCAACCAGCAAGATCATCTTCTGATGCAGCCTAGTCTCCCTTTTATTGCAAAGTTGCATATCCACAAGAACCATCTCCAGGACTTGAACTGGATCTTGAAGGTGAGCACTTCGTCGCAAGTCTTCCATTTGTTTTATAAGCCGTGATATGGCCAAGCTGTGCCTTTCACAAAGGTATTTGGTTACCTTCTGCAAGGTTTCATGGTCAGGAGGTTTGCTTCGGTCATAATACCTCCCCATCAATACTATAACTGCGTTGCTTGCTCGCCCTTTTGAGGCCCTTTTCAAGTCCAACAAAGTCATTCTGAAGACCAGCGACCATATTAGCCTCTGTTTGAATATTGTCCAGCTTTTTTGGCCAGCTATGGTCTCCATGTACTCAAAGCCAGAGTGAACAATGGCTTGATCCTTATAGTTCGGGTGCGGATGCTCATATAAGTGTCTAACTCGTAAGGCAAACTGCCTGTCTTGAGTTGTATTTCTTGCTGTAGGCCCAGAAAGGCTTCAGAGACATCACGGAAGACGGCGCGAGACAGCGCGCTAGGCAGGTATTTCTCACAGTGGGATTTAAATTCAGCGACGATCACTGCCACTGCGTACTGTGACGAAGCGTAAGTAACTAGAGTAGCTAAACTGCGGTGAGTATGATATACATACATGGCATATCCCCTAGCGGCCGTGTATTTGCACCCACCTTTCTCCTCTAAAACATTAATTATTTCCTGCAAGGCTGCTTCCGCCTCGAGAGAGTTCATATCTTCAAGCATATCACCAACAGTGCACAAAGTCCCAAGCCAGGCTGTCATGCAAATACAAGTGTTCTCTGCGTGACAGTGCGGGAAAAGTAGACCAATAGGCTAAACCTCAGAAATGGTATCGTGCAGGGGGAATGGGGCTCCTAGCAATTAATGATGCGTCGCTTCTTAAATCATGCATTTTCATTCTCTTACAGCGACATTTTCGCAATCATGCGGAGTATCTTGCTTTTATCGAACTCTTTAATGAGGCGCGGTTCCGGATAGAGCTAGGGCAGCTGAGTGACACGACCATATGTCGCAACAGTTCAGCCGGAGACATGACGGCGGAACAGTACGCCTTCATTGTCAACAACAAGACCGCTTTCTACAGCTTTTACTTGCCAGTTGCCCTTGGACTGCATTACATTCGAGGTGCCAGCGAAGAGAATCTAGAACGAGCACGGAACATTCTCCTGCATGTTGGGGAGTACTTTCAGATACAAGATGACTACCTCGATGTCTTCGGAAATCCGAAGACAACAGGCAAGATCGGCACTGATATTCAAGATAATAAGTGCACTTGGCTTCTCATCCGAGCGTTTCATTCAGGTAATGCCGATAAACGGCAGATGTTGCTGGACTCTTATGGCAAACGCGATCCGGCTCATGAAGGCAGAGTTCTACGGCTGTTTGACCAGCTACAAATCGAGAAGATGTATAGAGAATTTGAAGAGAAGAAGTTGGAGGAGCTATACAAACAGATTAATGACATGGATCAGAGAAGCGGACTGGGAAGCAGCATTTTTTTTATTCATTCTTGATGCAGTTCGACGGAGGAACATATTATGACCGAGTCACCGTTCTTTGTCATTTATCCAAGAAATATATATATGTCTTATGGCGTCGGCGTCAAATCAGTTCATCCATTAGCTTACCTCTTGATGAATATGCAGCAGAAGAAGATAGAAATAGGAAGACCAGTGCAGTTGGGCACCGCGCAACCTTGAAAAAGAGGAATAATAAGAATAATAAAAATAATAAGAGCAGGAGTAGTAGTAGTATGAGAGTTCATGACGACGCCAACTATAACATAAAGAATTGATACGTTTGCAATGGGCTTTTGACTTTTGGGGGTAAAGTTAATATTAATATTGACCTTTTATTTGCCCTGCAAGCCAGTGGTACGAACTTAACTATCAATACCTTTGGGCAATACTCCGGTTGCAGTAATCTAAGCTTCAGCTATTGCGATGTATGCACGATATACCATGTGATTAAGCAAACATTATATAATAATGCCCGGTGTCATTGACTTCTAGGGCTACTATGTCATGTAAATATCTAGCATAGCCATTAAAGAGTGGATATAGGTGGTGCTGAAAGGATAGCATACCAGAAATTACCTAGCTAGCTCATTCCCTTATTGTAGTATAATGCAGTGGATAACCTTGGTCAGCTGGAAATGAGCTTCTTCACTGATAATTAAACATTATCTACTTTAGCTAACAGATGTTAACTGACTTTAATTACTGGCTGAGCAAACCTTCCATGGGAAAAGTGATTAACCCGCCTCTGCAGGTGCTGCATGCGGCAGTTGGTATCGCCCTATTAATGTATAATTAAACCTTTCCTAACAGTTAGGTGGGTGGTACTTGTTTTAAAGTACGGTGGGATATTGCAAGTCCATCAAATACCTCATCCCAATCTTCGCATTTTAAACTTTAATTATTCTGCCTGCTGCTATCCTGGCGAGGCGACATCATAAGTGGGTCATTTCATAGACTCAAGAGGCAACCAAGATGTCATGAATATAATTGTTAACTAAGTGACTGGAATATTAAATACAGGCTCTATCCCCCTTGGCTTGCGGGACGAGAAAGCTAAAAAGTATATCTTGTCCACGCTAAATACCATGTACTCTTGCGAAATCAATATTTAGTTTATGAACCTAATTGACTTTGTACTTTCTTTGATATCATGCCCAGGACCAAAGGTGAAGATAAGGTAACTACTTCAGGCACCAAAGGACGAATAGTAAGGATATGTGATACGTTCCTCACTTCTGATTCAGTCACTGCTGCAAACCATCTAGCCCGCCCATGTCAATAGCCTCGGGCGAGCCCTAACCAAAGTTCTTGGCATTTTCCTATGTTTTAATGCTGAGAGCATAACTATTCCTTCTATATTGTGTTTGGCCCTTAGTTTAGCTTTTTTTAGATCCGCTAAATAGTACCCTTACGAAGGGTGCAAGTTCGGCGCAGAAGGGTCTTATGATCCCTATAACCCAGGGCGACGATTACGAACCGCTTCCCTTTGAATTTTAGAGCTTGGTTCTAGGGTACCCTTACGCCGTGGCGGTTAATTACATTACTCTCCGAGCGATCGCTCTTGGAGGAGGCGGCCAGTGTCATAATGGACTGTCATAGACGGGCGTTGCCATGTCTCAACCGCTGAGACCTCGCCCAGACCCCTGTAGCCCCCGTCCGTCTGTATCCGCTAAAGTTTCCTATAATATACACCACGGCATAAAAGGAAAAAAAGCAATACAATTAAAATGGTTTTACGATATAAGATATTGCTGTTTCGGGGTATACTTCCGGTGCTTGGGGGGTGACCTGGGGTTTCCTGCATGCGGGTAAAGGCGTTTGAGGGTCACCAGTGGGTATGGGCGAAGTCTATCGAATGCCATCCTGTCAACATCAGCTAGATTCAATATTTGGCACATATTGTTGAACATTAATCTTTTCTTCTGAAACCGGAAAGCTGTATGTAAATGACGCCAAACCTCTGAAGGTCAAGTTTCTACAGGCGACCATGGAATACTGGTTGAATACTTAAACTACATCACAGTTTGTAAGATATTATCATTCTCCTCCGGAGCACCCCGGTAGAGAGTGGCGATATTTAGGGTACTATGAAAAGGGTTTGATGTGCTAGTTATTCAGTATCAGGTTTACATGGTAGGGGGGCGTTCTTCCCTTAACTGGTAAACACTAGTATACTAGGTGATGTCAACTTTGGTGGCCACTTTAGAAACCTTCCTTTGTTGAATGGGTTGAATCGGTAGGCAGAGATTATAAAAGGAGATATTTTCCCTCACATGCGACCTATATTGTGTTTTAACCCCTAATCAATGCTTAAAAGGAGTTAAAATTTCAATAATAGTCATGATGAAACTCTCTCTACTCGCTCTATGTCTTTCCACCGCTGCCCTTGCAGCTAGTCATCCAGCCTATGAAGTGTATATCGCAGGGCCGCCGCAATGCAATCGTGGCTACGCGTATTGTGGCTGGTATCTGAAAAATAATCTTGGTAAGCCCTACACCCATATACAACAGAGGAAGGCAAAGTATCAGTTGCTGACTGGAACTAAGGCTTTAACAATCTCCCTCACTACAACGATCAAGCCATCTACTATTGCGAAAACACCTATTACCCAGACTACGTGAAGAAGTGCGACGATCAGTGTGGCTTGCAAGGGAAAGCTCTTTGTTATAAGTGAACATGAATATATGGTAAGTTTTCTGCAGCTCAAGATGCTGTGGAGTACCCAACAAAACAGATACATGTCTTGAACAAACTTTTGTAACCCAGGATTTGTGCCTGACTGTAGGCTGCTCATAAACATCCGCCGGAGATCATGGTTTTGCTCAAGCTTTAATTGCTTGATATTTGTTTAATGCCATTTTTTACTAACTTCTGGGTAGCCTCGCTACTACATTTTTGAAAAATATGCCTTTCGCCTGGTGGACATCTGTTTCTGTATGGCTGATTGAAAGAAATGAATTATTAATATGCTACCTGCAGTATTATATTTCTGCCTTGGTATAGGTTTTCCCCTACTATTAGGTTTTCCTATACTGTTATGCAAATGCAAAGGCAGCTTTTGGAAAATAATTGTCAAGCTATTCAATGAAATCTGCGCTGGTCTGTGCAGTCTGGGACAGTAGAACAATATGAGATTCTGATTTGCAGCGTACGTAGACTCTAATTCACTTTCTCAAGTTACTACGACAGTTTCAAGACGCCGAGGCGCCAGCACATCATCATATCCAACAATAGCTCATCAATACAGCTCCATTTTTAGGAGATCTACATGTTCTACCGTCCAATGCATTTATGGGCGTCTGATATACATCTATCATTGTAAATCTGGGTTGCACCACAAAATGGATCAGCATGGTTTTATTACAAGCTGCTTCTCATTCCTCGGCGGGAGGAAGAGGAAATTTAGTCAGCGAACCTGATAGATGTGATGGACGAATTATAATACAAGTACTACAACCGGCAGGCGCGGAAAGGACGATAGTTTTGAGAGGCGAACAGAAAAAGCTGGGCTTGAAACCAGACTACTGATGTTTTTGTGGCTATGATGTGCGGCCTGGTTACATATTTGTGAGGTATACATAATCAGCATACAGCGAGCACAAGCCCGGATGAATGCAAAAGCGCCCTGATGAGCGCTTGAGGTATCCATCTGGACTTCTCTTGTTGAATATTATCCTGAACCCGGGTTGGACAGTCAAAATGCACATCAACTCCCTAATAAAGGACTTCGCGTCTTTGGAATACTGCTGTGAAGGAAACTGGGCTAACCGCAGCGAAGGCGCTGGGCACCGGCCTGACCATTCCAATACCTTACAATGCATGGAATCAATGTATGGGACAACTTATGGAATGATAGCTACCCATCTCTGGACTGTACACCCACTTTCCCTGCTCTTGGTGAATGCCCTATAGTGAAAGATTACCAGGACGACGCAGTCCTCTGCCTGTCAACTGCCGGGGCCCAGCAGCAGAAATACCTTACACACAATGCGCACACAGCATATTACGCCAGATGCTGCACTGGGAATGGTAGAAAGGGGTTCCATTCATGTGGGGTGTGTCATACATTAGGTCCACTGCGATGAGGGGTAGAGGTGCATAACCGAACCGCTAAAATCGAGTCCAACCCTCACTGAATAGCTAGCTGATTCAGCAAACGTCAGTGTTGGACAAATGGAGCTCTCGGACTCTCACCAACGGACGGTTGTTAGGCCATGTATAATAATTATATTTAGATGATGAACTGTCTTAAGCACACCTGCCTCTTAGCATAGTTAGCTAAAATGGGTGTTATATCAATGTACCTTACGGCCATGGTCTAGTTCTTAATATGAGAACCTATGATCACCTATGTTATAGATATAATTTAACACTTAGTATTTCTGTTTGCACTCGCCTTATGCTGAAATTTATCTCTAGGGGTAAGTTAATGTTTAATAGTACCAAGAAATATTCATACAAAGGGGCTTGCACTAATCGTAGGATTTCATGACTTCAAGACTTTCACAAACTTCCGGGTACTCCGCAACAGGATCGTGGTGGTTGAAACGTCATTAGTTAAATGGTCTCTCCTCCCATAATAAATATCGCCAACAAAATTGTCCTCATTCTTTTGGAGAATCCTACTCTTTCTTTCTACGGCCAATCTAATTCTTGATTGATCTACGCCATGAATCTCTGGCCAATTATTCTAGCTAGCTCCCTTTTCTACATTGGGACGGCGGCTCCTGGCGGCACATTGCAGCTACAGCGTCTACTTACTCCAAGCTCTATTGGATCCGGTGGTGCCCCTGACCTGACCTTGTCTCAGCAGCTTCTGCTTGCCCCTTCTCGGTATGCGAAGTACCAGTTGCTGGCAAACGATGACTTTATGTTCGACTTTGGAGATGGTTCAAAGAATAGTGAGCTTACCTCTGGCGGATACCTGGTCGATGCTACTAGCGAGACATTTCCAGCCCTGGTAGGCCAAGGTGTCGGCATGGCAATTGGCTTTCTGGGGCCTTGTGGGTTTAATACTCCTCATGCCCATTTCGGCGGAACCGAGTTCTTTCTCCCATTCAACGGCAGTCTACAGACATTTCTCATGCTTGAGCCACCAGCTACTGATTCTGGCGCTACTCCTCGAATTGTGAATTTGACACTGGACGCTCTTCAGGGGACTATATTTCCACAAGGCTCAACGCACATGCAATTCAATCCTTCCTGCGAGACCAGAGCCTTTGTGGCTGCTTTCGGTACCGATGATTTTGGAAGAACGCAGCAATTTGAAGCCCTCTTTAGTCTGCCTGACGCCGCCCTCGAAGACGCTCTTGGGCGTAGTCTTGATGAAAATGAGATAGATATGGTCCGGAAAAAGATCCCTGGTCCGGTTATTGTTGGCGTTGACGAGTGCATGCGAAGTTGCGGGATCTTCCGACGCTCCCAACGCCATGCCTAATGCTAGTTCTCACAAGCCTCTCCGATGTTGCTGTAATATCCTGGGTTGTCCAGATAAGACCTCCAAAAATAAAATACTGGCGTGCGTGACGAGGTAGCGCGAGAGCAGCAATGATGGATAATGCAGGTCAATCCATATGTCTTGTTGGTGTTTGTATGGTTCCACGTACTAAACGGCTCTGGCTGTCCTGGTTGGGACCTTTGGTATGCGTGCCACGCCCCGCCATCCAGCCACTTGGGCCCGGACCATCTGGGTATTGTTCAGTCTACCCCACAGGGCGGAGCTTTGAGGGTTCACTGGATTTAGGGTATTGTCAGTGCACTACAACCTTTACCTTGACTGCCCCCCAGAGGGCAAACTCACACCGTGCAATTTCCGATAGCCCGCCTGTAGGGCGGCGTTGAGAAAGTTGAGCTGGTAGGTGATGGTTTCTGGGCCGGGTATGAGTATGACACTAAGGACACTGTCGACGTCCTTGAGTGCAGCGACAACAGATGTATGGGATGAAGAACCAACATAGCAGGGTTTCGGTGCCTGGAGACGATAGTTCAGGACTGTGGTTTGCTGCTGGAGGATGACTGGAGTCCAGTTGGCGTTAGAGAGGGCGGCGAGAATGGATGCGCCCAGGGTTGGGCTGGATGTTTCTGCGAATGACTACTTTGGGCGTTTTACATTGAATACTCGATTAGGAGACAGATGAGAAGAGTGATGGTGATTTTGATGGTGGATATGATGATACATATATGTCCTTTTGAAGAGGGCGATGACTCCAGCAAAAGCAAAATGAGGTTGATAGCATTGGCTGCCTAAAACTGCCAATGAGACTGAATTTGTCAGTTAAGCATTGAAATAAGAGTTATTTAAAACCATGGAAGTCTTTATCGATATTCCGTACCTTTACTTGGAGCAAATGTTGACTGGTTGTGATGACCAAAGCGTAAACAGTGACTAACTATAACCCTCATTCATTATTTAACCATGACCAGGATATTTTGAGGCGCACAATCAATCAATACAACCAGCTTCAATCAAATATATCCTGCTGGGATTGAATTGTCTCCAAATAATCCTCTGTCCGCATCAACCTAAACCCCTAAGTCCGATGTCCCAAAATCCGTCTCGGTATATAGCGCGGCTGAGCCCCCGTCATGCAGATCGCCATCAAGAATACCGCCAAGCTATCACTCACCCCACACAGTACACAATGCACATCTTCATAACCGGCGCAACTGGCTTCATCGGCCGCGTTGTTACTGAACTCGCCATCCAACAAGGCCACACAGTTCATGGCCTCTCCCGCAGCCCCCAACGCGACGAGCTTCTCACCTCCCTCGGGGCCGTTCCCATCCGCGGCGACCTAGCCACACACAACATCCTCCGAGAACAATCTGCAAAAGCAGACGCCACCTTCCACCTCGCCTTCGACCATGACTTCAGCAAATCCTACGACCAAATCATCAAGCTCGACACCGAGGCCGTCGATGCCCTCGCCGCCCCGCTAGTCGGGACCTCCAAACCCCTCATCATCGCCAGTGGGATTCTCACCGTGCGCCCAGACACAGGCGACAGCGTCGTCAACGAATCCGCGCCCTATGCCAAAAACACCAGAGTCAAGCGGCATGTTTGTGAAAAGCACGCGCTGTCGTGGGCGGAGAGGGGCGTCCGGGTTAATGTCGTGCGCTTGCCGCCGTATGTGTATGGCCGGGCGAACGAGACGGGGTTCGCGGCAAGAATGGTCAATATGGCTGTTGAGAACGGGGTGAGCGGGTATATTGCATCTGTAAAAGATGGATGCGTGACCAGTGTGTACGTGGACGATGCAGCGGCGTTGTTCTTGCTGCTGGCGTTGGATAAGACGGTTAAAGCCGGAGAGATATTCCATGGGACGGCCGACTGGGATACCACGTATGCGATGCTGGCCGGAGCGATTGGAAGGGCGGTCGGGGTCCCGGTTAGGGCATTAGAGAGGGAGGAGGCGGAGGAGAGGTGGGGGGAATTCCTATCGAGGTTCTTTGGGCTGATGATTCGGGCTTCGAATGGGAAGGCTGTCGAGAAGTTGGGGTGGAAGCCGTCGGGGCCGAGTTTGGTGGAGGAGTTGGAAACAGGAAGCTATAGGCTGGTAGTGGAGAGGTTTAAGCAGATGAAGGGCTAGTAATTTGATATCTCATGACTCTATTAGAAATGCACCTGCGACGATTCTAGAATCCGCATCACTTGCAAAGCCCTAAAGTCTACCTCTTCTAGGCCGTAAAACCGCAAATTCCCAGCTTTAAAGCATTTCGAAAGTCGATAAGATTGCCATTATTATACTAATCTAGATCTACATTATTGATTCAATATATAGGGTTAAATAGGTAGTGGATGAGAGATTCTCTTCGATCATAGTAATTATCAAAGGTTGATATAAATACGTATATATATAAACCACTACTTTTTCCTAACCTATGGCAGAAATGATTATTCTCTTATATCTCACCACCAGTAGATATTTTGAACTAATATTTAATATTCAGATAGACTAGATGCTAGGCTATCTAGTGATAAATTCTAGAAAAATCCTAGAAATTAGTAACTACTAAGCTAAATGGATTAGGCAGATTCACCTAATCCAATAAAACTACAAAAGCCATAACCAACAGTTTTATACAAACCAGTTTGGTTCCGTTCTAGGAAAGCCAAAACCAGTGTAATTCCCTAGGGTAGGCACTGAATTTGAACCGCTGTGAGTTCAGCAAATTGCTGATGTCGTGGTAGTCCACGCTAGGCGTGGCTTGTAGTACTGCCCCAAGTCAAGCCTTTTCTGGATACAGGTGGTCAGTCACGGTCTATTTCCAACAGCCACTCTAAGTGTTGGTATCTGCGCGGCTGGTCTCTGTTCTCTGAGCTGCCTACTACTCTGGCATTCAGATTTGGGGCCTAATAGATACCAGAGCGGATCACAAAACAACAAACGGGCAATTTTAGGAAATAGCGCCTTTGCTGTGGTGGGATAGTTCGCTAACAAATTCAACATGAGACTCGTTAGGTTGGCAAGAAATGCTGACGGGATCAACATGCTGAGATGCTAGTGTGCCTGAGTGCTTGCTATATAAGACAGGCCATGAACAACAACAGCGCTCTGATCAAGCCTGGATGCACCAAATACGTCTGAATACGCTAACGCTCCGCCAGCCGCTGCCGGCTACTCAAATCTGCTCCGTCGCTGTCCATTCAACTCCACCTGGACGGAAGCAAAGCGTCGATAAACCTGCGGAATAAAGTATGCGGTGATATCTAGCTCCTCCTTCTTGACTGCAACCGAGTAGAAGGCTTGGGCACCCACGCGCGTCTCCAGCTCCTCAGCCGGCACGATGTCGCGGAGGACGTTCAGGTAAGCCCTTGGATTGTGGTGTCCCTGGCCGTGACGCTCCAGGAAGCCAATCACTGTCTCTGCTGCAGCCAGATCACTCTTGGCATGCTTGCGCACGTTAATGAACGCTTTGACATCAGGAAGTGCAAGACGCGGCTGGATATCGTAATAGAAGCCTACACCATGGTGGCCGGATTGGCCCTCCTCCCCCTGGCCACTTGGCACCTGCTCTGACGTGGGGAAATCAGACGGCAGTCCGTTCAGCTCATACCACAGCTCCCGCAGCTTGTCGAGGACCTCCTTCGACAAGGGCCGGCGGCCTCCGATGGTCATGACGGTGGCAATGTGATCGAAGGAAGTGTTGTTCGTCGCCACGTAGAATTTCACCCTCGAGTCTTGGACCTTGCAGCAGTCAATGCCGGTTGTTCCACGAGGACTAAGCTGGCGTCCGTCGGGGTGGTTGGTCAGAAAGTCTTTCACTAGATTCAGACTGTCGAGACACACGTCTTCGCCGTAGGCCTCACGCATCGCTTTTGGAATGATAGTACTGAGAAGCTGGCTGATCTGTTCGGGTAGCCGGGGATACAGGTACATCTTGATCTCGATGGCGTCCGAGTCGGGCGAAAGCTCCACGCCAGTCAGCACCGACGGACCCGCGTACTTCTCCCGGTCAGCTTTGTCGGAAAACCGTGAAACAAGATGTGGCTCAAACGTCCAGAAGAGCGACAGATCGAGATTTGGCAGGGTGGTGGTGAGGTCTTGCAGAAACGCCCTGGTCGCGGTGTCATTATTGGGGTCGGCCGCAGTCCCTGTCAGAGGGCCCAGAGGCTCGATGTAGTTGCGGATATAGGGCTTTCTGTCCTCCGTGCCAAAACGCCAGCTGTAGCTGATGGGAGCACCGTCTCCCGCACTCGCAGCCACCCGACTCCTGTACCACGGGTCGGCAGAGTGCGGCTGAGGACCGAAAGTTGGGACTATCTTGAAGCGATGGAAGAGTAGACATTCCACCTGGCGATGCTCGGGATAACCCGCCTCGAGCATCATACGGGCAAGGTGTCGGCCCGTCAGTTTCCACCAGAACTGCTCGTCCTCAGTCCCCACAGGGAGGGAACGGCACAGGGCATCGAAAATGGGCAGTGGCTCGGCGTGACTCGGGGATGCGCCACGGCTTTTGCCATTCAGCGGAAGAGGAGACATGCTGCGTAACTCTGTGAGGATATGTATGACCCCGGTAGATGGCGAACTTCAGCCTTGAATTGATCGATTTAAGAGCTACCGGTCTCCAAGTAAATTCTGTTGCAAGATGTAGTATCTGTGGGCCTACAGGGTTATGGGTTTGGTTTGAGCCTTCGCCGGGTTATATTATTCCTTATCGATGTCGGATTTTACATCAGCGCGTCGTTTCCGGATATTGTTCGGCCTTTGCGGGTTCGTCGTGGGCAATACGAGGCGGATTCTAGGGAGCAGGAGAAAGCGTTCGTTGCGCGTTTTACAAATGTCTCGGATTTTGCATATCTCGGACTTTACGCGACTCGACTGTAGCACAAGTGGGATGATGCCTATTTGCAGGTTAGTTATTATTGTACATCAAGGGCCTGTAAATCCGACCATATCTGGCTTACGATTCCTGCAGGAGAGCATTGATTGACACTCAACATCAACCTCCGTTCGAATAACAATCATGGCGAAACCTCGTGCACAGACAGTATGGTTCGGAAATGAATTCCCCAGCGATGACCTGAAGGACTTGTTCCGGCGATTGCACCAACACAGCAAGGACCGGCGGTTCAGGCTGCTGTCAGTTTTTCTCGATGAATCCACGGCGATTCTCAAGGAGGAGGTGGCCAATCTGCCTCAACAGCTGCAGGAACTGGTGCCTCACTTCGACACGGCCTGCACGCTGGCCGAGGTCGACTTTCGCCAGGGCGCTCTAGGGGCTGCTATGGAGAGTGCGTTACTTACGATACTCGAACTTGGCATGCTCATCGGGTATTTATTTTACTCGTTCTGTGACTCTTGGAACTTGATTGACCTAAGAACTGTCTAGAAACTATGAAGCTGAGGACATCGAATGGGACTTAGATCCATCCGAGACCCTTCTCGCGGGCCTGAGCATCGGCATCCTCGCCGGCGCTGCCGTGGCTCTATCCAGCAGCTTGGCAGATGTAGCCAAGGTTGGAGCCGAAAGTGTTCGCGTCTCCTTCCGCCTGGGGGTGTATGTTGCCGACATCTCGACTAAGCTCGAAGCGCCCCAGTCGGATGGAACGCTTCAGAGTTGGGCCCACGTCGTCACGGGGATGTCGCACGAAGCAGTTCAAGAGGAGCTTTCTCAGTTCAATGCGGTCACGCAGAATCCAGAGCTCACCAAGGTCTTTGTCAGTGCTGCGGACAAGACGTCCGTAAGTGTGAGTGGGCCACCGTCACGCGTCAAAGCCGCCTTCCAACACTCGCCCAGCTTGCGATACTCCAAGTCTTTCCCGCTGCCCGTGTACGACGGTCTCTGTCACGCGCCGCATCTATATAGTCTCGACGATATCGAGTTTGTTATAAACAGCGCCAAGTCTGTGATCCCAAGTTCCCGGCCTGTGCGACTCCCCTTGATCTCCTCCCAGACCGGCAAACCGTTCGCGGCCAAGACAGCCGGTGAGCTCTTTCTGGAGATTGGCACCGAGCTGCTGACTGGTACAATCTACGTGGACAACGTTACGACTGGTATCCTTGAGCACGTCAAGCTTAAGGAACCGACAGGAAGCTATCGAATCGACTCCTTCCGCATGTCTCAGGTCCTGAATGGTATCCTGACAGCCATCGAGACCGACTTCCCCGCGCTGGAGCGGGTCCGGCGCGATTTTGTGTCCTGGGTATACGGAGACTATGGCGCCCGCCGCCCCTCTTCCTATGCGGCCTCAAAGCTCGCCATCGTTGGTATGGCTTGCCGGCTACCCGGAGGCGCCAATGACCCCGAGCTGTTTTGGGAGCTGCTTGAGCAGGGTCGCGATACCCTCACTACAGTGCCGCCGGACCGGTTCGACCTGAACACACATTACGACCCTACAGGAAAGACGGAGAATGCCACTCAGACTCCATTTGGAAATTTCATTGATCGGCCTGGCTACTTTGATGCCGGGTTCTTCAATATGTCCCCGCGTGAGGTAAACTCACCAACCCCCGGCTTCCTCAAGCAACGATACTAACATTGACCTAGGCCGAGCAAACCGACCCCATGCACCGGCTTGCCCTTGTCACCGCATACGAGGCCATGGAAATGGCAGGCCTTGTTCCAGGCCGCACCCCCTCTACTCAGCCAAACCGCATCGGCACATTCTACGGACAGGCAAGCGACGACTGGCGGGAGCTGAACGCCTCCCAGAACATCAGCACGTATGCGGTGCCTGGTGGCGAGCGCGCCTTTGCCAACGGGCGAATCAATTACTTCTTCAAGTTTTCCGGGCCTTCGTTCAACATTGACACCGCCTGTTCGAGTGGCCTGGCGGCAGTACAGGCAGCCTGCTCGGCACTGTGGTCCGGCGAGGCCGATACAGTCATTGCTGGGGGACTGAACGTCATCACGGACCCGGATAACTACGCCGGTCTTGGGAACGGCCACTTCCTCTCCAAGACGGGACAATGCAAAGTTTGGGACAAGGACGCCGACGGGTATTGTCGCGCAGATGGAGTCGGGTCGGTCGTCATCAAGCGGCTGGAAGATGCCGAGGCGGACAACGACAACATCCTGGCTGTGGTTCTGGGTGCTCGCACGAACCATTCCGCTGAGGCTGTCTCGATCACACACCCTCATGCTGGCGCGCAAAAGGACAATTACCGCCAGGTGCTGCACCAAGCTGGCGTCAACCCCCTCGATGTGAGCTATGTGGAGCTTCACGGCACTGGCACCCAGGCTGGGGATGCGGTGGAGTCCGAATCGGTGTCCGATGTCTTTGCGCCCTCTATGCCTCGCCGTCGACCCGATCAGCGTCTGTATCTGGGCGCAGTGAAGAGTAACATCGGGCATGGTGAGGCAGCGGCGGGCATCGCTTCCCTGCTCAAGGCGCTCCTGGTGTACCAAAAGAACATGATTCCCAAGCACATCGGCATCAAAACCGAGATCAACCCTATTATTCCCAAGGACCTCGATCGACGTCACGTGGGTTTGGCCATGGCGAACACCCCCTGGCCGCGGCCTGCCGGGAAAAAGCGTCTTGCGGTCGTGAACTCGTTTGGAGCGCACGGCGGCAACACCACCCTGCTCCTGGAAGACGCCCCGGAGAGAGTGAAGCTTTCAACTGAGGACGACCGCACAACTCATCCAGTAGTCATCTCCGCAAAGAGCAAGAAGTCCCTCCAGGCCAATATCGAGAAACTGCTGTCGTGGCTGGGTCAGAACCCCGACGCGGACCTTGCGGACCTTTCGTACACCCTCTGCACGCGGCGGATGCACCACAGCATGCGGTTTGGGGCCACAGCCTCCAACGTCGCGGCTCTAGAGAAGACTCTCCGTTCCTGGCTGGACAACCCCAAGGCGTCTGCCGAGCTGCGGGCCATCCCGAACGACGCGCCCTCCGTGGTGCTGACCTTCACTGGCCAGGGTGCCTACTACCGCGGCATGGGCCAGGAGCTCTTCGCCGAGTTCCCCTATTTCCGTACGCAGGTACTTCAGCTGGACCAGATTGCACAGCGGCTGGGATTCCCGTCCGTTGTCCCCGTCATCGACGGTAGCATTGACGATGGGCCCGCGTCGCCCATTCTTACACAGCTTAGTGTTGTGGTGCTGGAGATTGCCATCGCACGCTTCTGGTCGCACCTAGGCATTCGCATTAGCGCTGTCGTGGGGCACAGTCTTGGTGAATACGCTGCATTCGCTGTTGCCGGCGTCATCTCCGCTGCAGACGCTCTTTACCTCGTTGGACGGCGCGCGCAGTTGACCGAGGAACGATGCACTCCAGGCAGCCAGTCGATGCTGTCCGTTCGCGCGTCCGAGGATGATATTGAAGAGCTTATTGCAGGCAGCCCCGAAACTGCTGAAATAGCCTACGAAGTGTGCTGTCGCAACACTCCCCAAGATACCGTCATCGGCGGCACTAAAGAGACTATCAGCAGGATCCGTCAGGCCCTGGAGGCAAACAGTATCAAATGCACGCAGCTGGATGTGCCATTCGCCTTCCACACCGCACAAATGGACCCCGTCTTGGACTCGCTGGAGGCGTTGGCGACCCCCATCGCGTTCAAGGCTCCCAGCATCCCCGTGTTGTCCCCCTTGCTCGGAAGCGTTGTGTTCGACCGCAAGTCCATCAACGCACAGTACCTGCGCCGTGCGACCCGCGAGGCAGTGGATTTTGTAGCGGCCATTGAAGCCGCTCAGGACTTCGGCCTGGTAGACGCTAAGACGATCTGGATCGATGTCGGACCGCACCCCATTTGCGCTGGCCTTGTGCGTGGCATAGACAGCTCCGCATCCGTGATCTCCTCCTGCCGGCGCAACGAAGACAACTTGGCGACCATGTCCAAGAGCCTGGTCACCCTTCACCTAGCAGGGCACACACCCTGCTGGGCGGAATACTTCCGGCCCCGCGAGCGGGCGTACTCGCTGCTGAAATTGCCCACCTACGGCTGGAATGAGACCGACTACTGGATTCCGTACATTGGCACATGGACGTTGGACAAGGCACTGCTCAAGTACGGGGAAAAGAAAGCTCCTCTGTCTCTGTCCATGTCGCGCCCTTCAGCGCTCCGCACCTCGTTGGTTCACCAGATCACCGCTGAGACGGTCGAGGCGACAACGGCCACCCTCCATGTCCTCTCTGACATGCAACATCCTGATTTCCTGGAGGCTCTTCATGGTCACAGGATGAATAACTGCGGCGTTGCAACTTCGGTATGTCATTAATTCTGATTTTTCTTTTTCTATTTTCCGTCTGTGTATATGCCTGCAAGAAATCTTGTGTCTAACTCCTGTACAGTCTATCTGGTCTGACATGGCCTTCACGGTTGGTGAATACCTCTACCGCCGACTCGTTCCCTCGGCCAAAGATGTGCACATGAACCTTTCAGACGTCGAAGTCCTGCACGCCCAGGTCGCCCTCGAGAAGAAAGGAAGCGTCCAGCCGCTTGTGCTCAAGGCACACCTGGACCTGTCCACTAGCTCCATGTCACTTGCCTGGTTCAACGCGAGCGCCGAGACGGGGGAGTGCGCCGCCGAATCCTTCGCTACAGCCGTGGTCCGGTTCGAAGACCCGGCCACGTGGACCAGGGAGTGGGACCGGATCTCCCATCTGGTACGAGGCCGCATTGAGGCGCTAGAGCAGCGCGCCGCAGAAGGCAAGGCGAGCAAGCTCTCCAAGCCCCTGGCTTATGCACTCTTCAAGAACGTCGTCGACTACGCAGACCGGTATCGGGGGATGGAGCAGGTGGTGCTGCACGAGCACGAGGCCGTCGCGGAGGTGACGCTCGTCGCGGAGCGGCACGGCACCTGGCACACGCCGCCACACTGGATTGACAGTGTCTCGCACCTGGCCGGCCTGGTCATGAACGGCAGCGATGCGTCCAATACCAGGGATTACTTCTACGTCACGCCCGGATGCTCCAGCTTCCGTCTGCTGAACCCGCTGAAGGCCGGCGACAAATATCGCAGCTACGTCCGCATGTTCCCATTGCCGGAGGAGGCGAACATGTACGCGGGTGACGTGTACATTCTGCAGGGCGAGCGGATTGTGGGCATGGTCGGCCAGATTCGATTTCGTCGCGTGCCGCGGCTTCTCATGGACAGGTTCTTCTCGCCCGCTGCGGCTTCCCATACGGAACAGCAGCTGCAGGAGACCGCTCACAGCGCCACTAGCGTCAAAAAGAGCGCTGCTCCTGCTGCTGCGGTCCCTGTCTCAATCGCAGTGCCCTCAAGCAACCCAGTCGCAATCCAATTCCCCGTCGCCAGCAAGAGCCGCGACTCCACTCCCCCGCTCACCCCTCCGTCCCAGGAAGAGTCGCCCGGCGAATCCGCCGTCATAACGCCGGCCACATCGGACCGGGGCGATCCAGTAGACGCCGGCCTGGTGGGCCAGTGCCTGCAGGTGATGGCTCGTGAGACGGGGCTAGAAATAGAAGCGCTGACGCCGGAAGCAAGCTTCGTGCAGCTGGGCATCGACTCGCTCATGTCGCTTGTGTTGTCAGAGAAGTTCCGTGCCGAACTGGGGATTGAGATTAAGAGCTCGCTGTTCCTGGAGTGTCCGACGATCGGGGAGATGACGGCATGGTTGGAAGAGTATTGTTAATAGACCCTCCTTTGTCTATCCATATAGAGTTGTCTCTTAATCATTTGTCAATCAATCTACAGCTACCATCTACTCAATTTCTCTAATCCCCGAAAATGATAAAATATCTGTAAGATTAAATGGGATATTTACTCCAGGCGTGTACAATCTCCATGAGATACTCCTGAATTTTTCCAGCCTTCAGTGGGCATTCTGTACAGCTTCTCACCGAGTTACAAGCCTGATCCTATTTTTGAGTGTAGAATCGACAAGCCGCAAGGTCTATTTACGAACTTGGATCAACAAGCCAATAAGGATCATTCTATATAATCATGTTTATGTAGCTAAGCACCTATCTCGCCGTCACTTTCCAGAATCACCATGACTGACAACCCTCATGCCAAATTTGGTTGTTCTTCGTGCCTTGTCTAATGCGCATATTAAAAGCGATAGTTATAGAGTTCCTTGCATACCTCTAATCATTAAAATCCGGCGCCAAAACCCGGAGTCTCCAACCAAAATCCGGTCTTTTTTGTCGGGTTTTACCCACAGCCTTGCAGCTCGTTTTCCCCTGCAGCGATACATTAGCCTAAGACCAGAAGATGAAAGCAACTAAGGGACCTAGATCATTTTCATTTGCCTGCCAAAAAATTACCTTGTAAACTACAATGGCGCCGCCACTCCCAATCCTTATCATCGGCGCCGGCATCTCAGGCCTCACAACCGCCCGCCTGCTGACAAACAGTGGCATCCCGAACATCGTCTTCGAAGCATCCAGCCCAGATCGTAGCCAAGGCTTCGCCATCAGCCTGCGCGAATGGGGTTACGCGACATTGCTGTCCGCCCTCGGGGACCTGCCGCTACGAAGCTTGACGCGCGGCGTCGCACCGGACAGGGAAATCGGCGGCTCGGGCTGGATCGACCAGGTTGTATGGGATAACGGAACCGCAAAGAAACTATTTGTGCCGGACGCGAACTCGTCGACAAAGAAGGAGGTTGTTCGCGCGAACCGGAATGCGTTGCGCAGGTGGATTGCGGACTGTGGGGAAGAGGAACTGGATGTGCGGTACGGACATCGGCTGAAGAGGGTGGAGGGGAGTTTGGGGAATGTGCGGGTTGAGTTTGAGAACGGATCGTTCTATCGGGGGCTGATGGTGGTTGCTGCGGACGGGGTGAACTCGACTGGTAGGAACTGCTCCTCTAGCGTTGTAGGACTAAACCGATAATATGTGTATAGTTCGATCCCAGGTCCTCCCGGATGTCCATCCCGAGACTATGCCTGCGGTGCTCTATCATGGCGAGTTCCAGATGCACAGGGTCGACTTCGACCGGCTATTCCGGCCACACACCGGAGAGTCCAACATCCTCGCGGGTGTCGGCGATGGCTTCAACGCGCCGTTCGCCGTTTGCAACATGACGAAGACGCACGTCCACATGGACTGGTCGTACTCGCGGCCGGCCTGGAGCAGCAGAGAGGACGACCCGCTGTACCGGCCCAATCGCGCCTCCGAGGACGCAAAGCAGATCCCCCGAGCGCTGGTGGAGGAGCTTGCGTCGCGCGATCTGGCCAAGCCGTGGAGTCTGTTTCTCAATGGCGACGCTATCCAACACCACCGGGTGTTTCATTGGGCCGTCCGCTGCGTCTCTGTGACGCGGGAGGACATGCAGCGTGCTGTAGGTCGAGGCGTCGCCTTCGTCGGCGACTCGTGGCATGCAATGCCCATCTTTGGCGGGGAGGGAGGCAATCATGCACTGGCGGATGGTGTCGAGCTGGCTGCTGCTGTTGCGGCCGGTGTGGGGGGCGATTTGGGCGTGGCGATTGGGAGTTACTATGATCAAGCGTGGAAAAGATCACAGGACGCGGTCCGACGGTCCAAACAGCGGTTCTATGCGCTACATCGGCCGATGGCTCAGTGGCGGGAGCTTTCGCAGAAGAAGCCCGTGTGACTTTGAAGGGTTTAGGCTACTAGCTAAGAATGACATGGTTACACTGATGTTGAGGCCACCTAACCACTCTCTGGAAGCAGGTCGGAGACAGTCTAGCCCTCGGTCTGTATTTTGCTAATAAATATTTAGCCTGGTTTCAAGATTAGCGAGGAGCCTAGTAACACTCTTACGGGTACCTGGCCCGGTCTCAAAGCGCCATCGAACCAGGGCTGGTTGGGGGAAATAATTGGTTGCTCCCTATTGTGGGACAAAAGATCGCGGACAGTGGAATCCCAAGGATAATGCAACACAAAAGAACAGCACGATCAATGCCCTACACCCTCATGATCTCGATCACCATACTCATTGCAGACCTGACTGTAGTAATAAGGATCGCTTTGGCCATAGTTCTCTTGGAACTGAGTTGTAACGTGGCCTGACACCCAGTATTTGTTAGTTCGCGTCTAATATTTATAGAGATAAAACCTGGACCAGTACTTCAGACATGACTGGATACCCCTTTCTGGGGACACCCATGACTTCCGATTCCCAGAAAAGCGATATTTGCCGAACGTGCAGATCATGCCTTAGGCGGCTAGAGTGGTTACCAGGAGTAATCCAAGTCGCCAGTGCAATGGTATGATGAACACGAGGACCCGCAGCCAAGTGTCCAGGTGCAGAATCTTGAATGGATCGAGCTCTGACTGCGTTCACTACTAGTCTCAAGGGGGATAATGCTGAATTGAGATGATTGGCGAGGCAGATGACTTTCCTCCACCACTTTGCAGCGAGACTTGACACTTAGGGCTAGGAATGTGGGGCCGGTGCTGAGAATGAGAGCACTAGCTACCTTTGTCGTTATTATGCATGGATGGCAATTGACAGTAATGAAGGCCAAAAGACCTTGTATCCATCTCGAAGAGACAGAGACAAGAAAACCGCAGCAAAGCGTGACCAAGACGGTACAAAGCACAGAAGCCCTAGGCTGGGTAGGGTATCTGCAGAGGATTGATCGTCTTCGAATATAAATAAGGTTATGGAAAATAAGGCCGGACTGAAATAGGCACAACGAATATCACCTCTTTCTCACTGGACCCTACTACAGTCCGTGCTCGTATTCGGCAAATGGGTAAATTTGGCCACGTAAACACGACTAAAAGCCCTCCAATCAGCACAGAACTTGACTCGTGTCAGAGGACGGAGTATAGATTGAGATAAGAATCTGCGCATCTTGATCATGGTGGTCGACGCCCAGACTGTCACATGGGCTTCTCGAGGCTGATATCAGGTCGCTTATTTCACGTTCCACAACACTAGCATGCTTGCATGATCATCCAGTACCAATTGATATCTGCTCTGTTCTATCTAATTGTGCTGTTAGTACAATGAGGCTGCGAGCATTCTGATACGTCGACTCTCCTACCACAGAATCCTGCAATGCAGCATGCTCGGCCTATTGCATCTTTTGTATGCCACCTTTCCCGCAACAGAAAACAACCCGCATCTGCCTGCAACTATGTGATGGCTGTCTCCCCTATCGTAGTCACTCGGTCGTTGTTGCGCGATCCACCGATAGAAGATGTAGGAGTCACCTCTTAAAGTGACAAAGCGCCATGCCCACTCCCGTCATTTTAAGAGAATATACCAGGCAACGTCCTTATAACGGTCATATATTTAGTCACTTGCAGGGGTTGGGTTACATTGCCCGTGGTTTCATTCTCGTGTTGACCTGGTGGTTTCCTCGTGTTTCCCTCGTGTCCTGAGACCTAGGGCTTATGCAACTTGGATATTGATATCGCCACCCTAGCTTGTTCCGAAAAAGAGAAATCCATGCGGCTTTTATTCGCTAGTTAGGTCCGATAAAGCATATATAGATATAAACTCACGCCCAGCTATCCCACCACAATCTGTTGTCAAGATGGAGAAACGTAATCAGCGGAAACGCCCCTCAACTCCCCATCTCAGCTGCGAGCTCTGCCGCGAGCGCAAGATCAAGTGCGACAAGGTCGATCCCTGCGCCAACTGCGTCTCGGCAGGCGTGGTCTGTGTCCCTGTCCATCGGCCACGCCTGCCACGTGGTGTCCATGCGCGACGAGCTCGCCCAATGTCCCCAGCGCTCGTGCCCGCACGCTCACCTACCTCTGGTGCCGGTCCGGTATCTTCAGAGGAAAAGCAGACAGATGCTTCCTCCGGCGCCGTCGGGCCAGTTCAAGACGACCTCAGGGAACGCGTCCACCGGCTTGAGGCGGTAGTCAACAGCATGCGTGCGGCCATGCAGGACCCTTGTCCGGCACCTGTTAGCCAGGTTAGTTGCGCATTCCGGTGTATAGTTGCACGTGCTGACGAGGAACAGTCGGTTGTTAACAATTCATATCCGGCGTCAACAAGTTCATTGTCATGCAGTTTGTCCATTCCAATTAATGTCCAGAAGCAACCACCCTTAACTTCACCGGCTGATTGTTTCTGGACTGGTTTGCTTGGAGAGGTAGGCATATGTCGCGTGGGCCCATCTAAACTGGCGCTGGGATGCTGACCGTTCCCGTGGGTGGTGGATCAGATAGAAGACCCTGGTGGCGACGTAGGATTGAGCTCAAAGACCAAGTCGGATACGCATAGCCCGCTAGCACCTAACGTGTTGAAAATGGATGACGGCGGGTTCCGTTTCCTTGGCTTGAGTGGCAATAATCTAACCCAGACCTGGACTCCAGTCCTCGAAGATAAAGAAATGACAAGGCAGTTATGCCAGATCTACCTCCAGCAAGTCGACCCCATCATTAAGATCCTGCACCGGCCAAGTGTCGAGAAGTGGATGTTACATGGGGAGCAGTACCTCGATTATCCGGAGAGGCACGTTGCCGTTGATGCGTTGTCGTCTGCCATTTGCTACGCTGCTGTCGCGAGTTTGACCGACGATCAATGTCGGGCAATGTTTCAAAGGAGCAGGTCCAGCGGCATTGCGGAGGATTCTCGAAGAGCGTGTGAGGCCGCACTAGAGAGAAGTGGGTTGCTGGCGTCTCCCTGTATCACTGGCCTGCAAGCATTTGTCCTTTACCTCGTAAGTACCAACTTCTGAACAAGGCTCAAGACCAACACCAGCACGGGTTTACTAACCCCGTGGAATAGATTGCCAGAAGATCCGAAAACCGCTGTCAGGCCACATGGACGCTGACAGCGGTGGCCGTGCGGCTGGCAAAGGCGCTCGGTCTCCACCGGGAGCGAGATGAGACATTCTTCAGCCAACAAATGCGCAGGCGGTTGTGGCTCACCATCTCACTGATGGACCTGCAGGCCTCCTTCAGCCAGGCCTCCGAACCGCTCATCAACACTGAAGAGGCCACCTCCACATTCTGTCTGCCCCAGCACATCAACGACTCGGATTTCAATCCAACCATAACCCATGAAATTGCAGACAGGGAGGGGCTGTGCGATACCACATTTGCGCTGGTCACATACCACATCCAGCTAGCAGGGCGGGCCCTGAATTTTGGCGCCGCGGCATCACCCCAGCACAAGGCGTCTCAACAGCAACACGCGCAGCGCTTTGAACAGAATGCGCTCCGCCTGTTGCACTTTTGCGACCCCGAATCCTCGCCGTACGCGTGGTTCACCTGGCACGGCACGCAATGCCTCGTCTCTTGCGCTCGACTGTCCGCTCTACGTCCACTCCAGCTCCCGCAACCCAATAACGGCAGTAGCCAGCCGTCGCCCTCGCCGTCTCCCAGCCCGCAGGAGCACAACCCGGAGCTTCTCCGCCTGGCCCTAAACGTCTTGGAAAAGGCACACCTGATGCACACAGATCCCCGCGGCGAGAGATTCCGCTGGTACGTGACGACACCGTGGCACGTGCTGGCGGTCGCCATCAACGAGTGCTCCCTCTGCCCGGATGTGGCCCAAATCCAGGCCGCGTGGCCCACCATCGAGGCATGTTATCAGCTCCTGCGCCACAAAGGAGTTGCGGGCGAGGAGGAAGCACTCCAGCGTCCACTAGAGAAATTGAAATGTCGGGCACAGGACAAGGCGGGCCCTCTTTTGCAGCCCGCAAGACGTAGTCCGACATTCAGCCTCGGTAGCAGTGCCGTGACATCTGCTGCACCCACGCCGCACTCGCGGGCCAGCAGCACCCCGAGTGAGACCCTCAGCGACCTGTCCTGGCCGACAGCTTTCTCCCATGCTCATTCCCAGCTCGGTGTGGATTTGGCTCCAGTGGCACCCGTACAGCCGTTGGCCAAACTCGATCTGGATTCGTTGTCGTTACAGTTCGATATTGAGAACCAGCCGCTGCTTGCGGGCCCGAGCCCTCGAGTGGACGCGGAGCCATCGTTGCGGACGTGGGAGCAGCTGATGTCGGATATTGATTATGCCGAGTCGAACATGTTTCTTCCTTAGATGGACGCCGTCCTTCCGTCTCTCTTTCGCCATATACGGTTAGACTGAAGTAGGGATAAGACAAGTAGTTATCCCACCTGTTATCCGGATTTTAGATTGTGTTGTTTGCGAGGCGGATTTCCTGTTCCAATAGAGATGAGACTTTTTGATAGGTCGCCGGTTTCTGGCAGAAATTTATCAACAACGTATCATATTCTTCACATCGTACTACAAACTCATCTCGATAGCATTCCAGGCTCTTTGTGCATGACTGGCCTGGCTGCAGCGCATTTTCTTCCATAATGCTGCCTAGATTCAAGGCCTGTTGCTTATGTTCGTCGCTATCTCCATCACAAGGGTAGCCTGCTGCAAGCAAGTCTCGGATTTTGGCGCCTCGGTGTCTCTGATATCGGATTTTAGCATTCAACATGGAGCAACAGCTCGGATTAAAACACAACAAAACCTTTCTGCCAACTCACTACCCTAAGATAATCTGTATTCGCTGACTGAATAATTTTGAGCACCGTATACTCTGCGGACGCAATACAATGGCCCCCCGCATGCCATTCAACCAGGCCTTCTGGGAGGATTACCTCTCCGGGCAGGATGCGACCCTCCCTTCTCTTCCCGATACCTCAATCCTCACCAGCAGAGTAATCCGCATCCTCGGCGGGAATCCAGGTGCCATGCACCTACAAGGAACCAACACCTATCTAGTCGGAACGGGGCCGTCTCGCATCCTGATCGATACCGGACAGGTAGGTACCAACTTTCTATCCAATTCCTATGGAGCTAACACAGGCAGGGTCTCCCCATTTGGATCAGTCGCATCATTGGCCTCCTGCGCTCGAACAACATCTCCATCTCACACATTCTCCTCACCCACTGGCACGGCGACCACACAGGCGGCGTCTCGGATTTAATCTCTTACAACCCCACCCTCGCCGAACGCGTCTACAAGAACCTCCCTGATCCAGGTCAAAAGCCCATAGACGATGGACAGATCTTTGCAGTAGAGGGGGCGACTGTCCGCGCAGTCTTCACGCCTGGCCACTCGGTCGACCACATGTGCTTCTTGCTTGAGGAAGAGAATGCCCTGTTCACTGGGGATAATGTTCTGGGGCACGGGTTCAGCGTGGCCCCGGATCTGGGACGGTATATGGAGAGTCTGGAGCTCATGGCGAACTTGGGCTGCGTGCTTGGGTACCCTGCGCATGGGGCTGTTATTAGTGACCTTCCTAGCAAGCTGGAGGAGTATATCCGGCATAAGGAGTTGCGTCTGCGAGGGATTCTGTCAGTATTGGTGAAGGAGAGGGAGAGGGTGGAGGGGGACAGAGGGACGGGAGGCGGGAGAAAAGGGGGTATGACGCTGCACGAAATTGTGAGGGCAATGTTTGGGGCGGTGCCGGACGAGGTGATTGACCAGGCTTTGGCGCCGTTTTTGCTGCAGGCTTTGTGGAAGCTGACGGAGGACCGGAAGGTGGGATTCGAGCCGGGGGATCCTGTCAAGAGAAAATGGTTTGCCGTTGCCCGTCGAGTGACTAGACCACCTAGGCAGTACGGGTCGGTTGCACGTCAATGATCCTGCTGGGGTTATGCGGATGTTTATCATCTGCGCAAGCCCGAAGACGGAAGCCCATGCTTAATCTCCCCTCGCGCGATCTTCTCAGTTAGCGATCCTGCACTCCTGTCTGCGCCTGAACATTCAAGACGGCAATATTTGGCAGTGCTGTTCATTCTGTATATATCAGTTGAGAATTATAAATGGAGTTATGATAGGTTCCCTTTGAGCCATGCCTTCCGTTCTCCAAACAATGCCTTTGTCCTCGCATGTTCAGAGGTTACATAATGGAGTGTGACCCCATGCCATAACAAGCGAGCCTGTGTTATGGTATTGAGGATACTGCGGTACCTCAACCAGCACCCTGATTCACTTCATTGTTCAATTTCATAGGCACAATGTATATATCTACACCATCTCATTCACATATATAAACGCTGGATTGATTCTCGCAATGACTAGTCAGCATTATATCCCTAGTCCTCTTCAATACCCTGCGTTGCATCCATAATCAAATTAGCCAGCCCCAGTCCAAACAATTCAATGTAAAAATGCTCAGCATCGACAACAGAGTCCGATCCGCCTACGCCATTTTCCGCCTTTCCTATCCAAGAATTGCTCCCTCATGAGATGCTCGAGCAATATCTCGAAACGTCGAAGTGCGCCGTCGGATTCACCTTGAAGCTTGACTTCTTCCAGAAGTGACACAATGAGTAGTAGGCGATCTTACACTCGAAGTGTTTGCAGACAATGACTCTGATGAAGCAATTAAAATCTTCTGGGACTGCATGTGAAATAATAATATGTCCGTAATCGTATGTATATAAAAAAAAGTTATGAAGCCGAGTATTCTTACAATTAGCACTCCGCCCGGATTTAATCAGGCAAAGGACGGACGCATCATATCAGGTGAACAAGAAGCAGCAGCTGATGCTGGAACAGTAGGTCCAGTCACTGCTAGCATCCCAAGAGCCAATTCACAAATCATAAACTGAGGATTCCTGTACAGTGTGGTGGTATTCCAGACGTAAGTTGAGACGAGTGCATGCATGGCGAACCTGGGTGAGAGCATGGCAATCAGTATGCGGAGCATACGCGGCTAATACCGAGTTAGAGAACGCGACTGGGTCCTCAGCCCATCTATGCATTATGCATAGACCACATAGCACACGCATAGCCGAGACACTTCTCAGCTCGGATGCTTGAAAGGACCTCCGTCAATCCACGATCATTGGGTCTTTCTTGCGCCTAGCGCATTCAGTTCCTGTTCGATGCCTATCCAGGCGCTCGTCCTCAAGGTACACGATAGCCACCAGTTCCCACTTGCGTCTTTGCCAATAATTGGCCCCACGTTTCGCAAAGCAAGGCCACCCGAATGATGGGTGGGAATCACGCACGATGGCCTGCCAAGCGGATGCACACGGTCATGGAGCGGAATGCCCGGGGCAAGAACCGCAGACGAGAAGTCCACTTCAAAGAACCGACCTCGGTGCCAGTTACTACAGCAGACGAGAAGGGATGTCGGTTCGCCGAACACCGGCGGATGTTTCTGAGCAGCGGATTTGTGAAACGCAAAAAACGCTTCAATTTGGGGTAGTGTGCGTTGTTGGACGAGCGAGCGGCGGATGTTGGAGGCCATGAGGCTGACTGGTTCTCGAAGAATCTGCTGGGTGCGAAGAAAGGTAATCGCTGGAAGGGCAGCGTTAGTGATAAAGGCTGTGTTTGTGGATGACGATTCCTGGAGGACGGTCGAACGGATGTCGAACACGTTCAAGAGGGTCACCAAGCGGCGGGGCGAGGGATTCAGGGCCTTAATCAAGGCCTTGAGCCACCATGCTAAAAGTACGTCACTTTCGCTAAGGAAGGGAGCAGGCCCTTCCTTACTTTGCTCGGCTAGCTCGTGCAATGCCTGCTCCCGCATCTCGTCGAGATATCGTCCTGGGATGCAGATTACACGTTCATTCTGGCCGCGGTGCCAGATGAGCTCGAAGAGGTAGCTGGCGATGAAACCTAAGAGTCGGAACCCGGTCAGCAGAAAGGAGCTGTTCACGTAGGTGTTGGCCGGGGTTCTGTCGATGAAGCGTGCCGCCGGATCTTCGCTGATCTGCTGAAAGATTGGGATCTGGTCTTCCCGTCCATTCATGACAGCAGTCCACGCCTTGAGAAAACTTGAAAGACCCATAGCGTCCATCAGAGTGTGCATAAAAGTTACAGTCAGCAAGGTGGCATCATCGAACGACACCACATCAATGACGAGTTGCGGTCGATCTGAATAAAGCCAGTCCTCGATCCTCGTGGGGCAATCCGCGGACAGACAGACAGACGCGAGATCTGCGGGGTCGCCAAGCAGTGATGGCTGGCCAGTTGCTTGGGGGAAACTGGCAGCTAAAGGATGCTCGTTGATGCCCATAGGGTGCTTAACGACCGTGTAGTTAAAGCCAGGCCGGTTTGAATCATAATGCGCTGGTATGTGGTATTCTAATTTACCATCATCCTAACGTGTGTGAGTTGCGGGCGAATGTAGTATGTGGGTGATTCCAATCCACACCTTCTTGCGAAGTCGCGCTCCTAGTGTCCGCCAGCCTTCCAACTCCAAGAGACGCGCCAACGATTGGCGTAGAATCTCTGGGTCAAGGACATCGTCGAATCGGTAAGTGACATGCAGGCAACAAGCCCGCATGCGATGTTGGTCATCCCATGCCGGGATCGGTAGTACTGTGTCCGTGGGGTTCCGTGGCGGCGGAAGCGTGGCTTTTTTCCCGAAAAAGCCCATTTTCGCACGAATTAGACCAGAGCTTTCGTGTACAGCATTGTCGCTTGATCAGTGTTGGTGGCAGAGAATTAATGATGATATGTATACTGGAAAGACTTCGCCAAAATCCGGCCGTGAGCTCAAAGTCAGGCTCAAAACCCGAGCTCGCAAAACCCGAGAACGACCCCAGTTAGGAGTAATGCTATGACAACTCAACCAAGCAAATTGGCATCTTTATCCCTGCTTAATGGTCTTATAAGACTTTATTGATAGCCTGTAGTGGCTCTATCATTATTTATCATGAAGACTAGTTAACTACATTGCCTGCTGTAAGTAATTATTCAATAACTACTTGTAAGCTTAGTAGAAGCATCTTTTATATATAGTATGTGTTGAAGTACAATGTACTTCTTAAACCCTACTAAAGATATACCTAGTGCTAAACTAGCAGTAGAACACTCACAGAACCCGCAGTTGTTTGATTCCGGTGCCTCGCCTAGGGAATTGCACCAGTTTCAGTTTCCCTAGGGTAGAACTGATTTAGATTTGGTTCAAACCATCAGTTACAGTTTTTGCAGTTTTATTAGATTAGGTTCATTAACCCTCACAGGCCTCACTGTTTTGATTAGTACTCACTAGTGTCTAGCACTTCCCTAGAAATTTTGGTATAACTAGATAGCTCCAGCTTTAGACTATCTAAACATATAAATATCAATTCAAAATACCTAGTGGTCGCGGAGATATAAGGGAATAATCATTTCTATCAAGGGTTGGTATGAAAGTAGTGATGGGTTATACTCGGAGTATATATATTCGCATCAACCTTCGATAATCGCTCCAGTCTAAGAATAATTCTTAACCACCACTCATTCAACCCTATAGATATTCAATTGCTATTGCAGATCTAGATTAGCATGATAATAATGATTATATATTTTATATAAAAATATTAATTTTCTATAGGTATAGTAATAGTATGGTAGATAGTATGGCAGTCAATGATCACTTGAAATTTTAAAATGGTTAAACCTCACTGAGGGGTTTGTGCAAACTAAACTAAACTGAATCTAACCATGTTAGTTAGTAGTGGCTGGGCTAGGCCTATATAGGCCTAGTAGTGGAGTTTAGCAGTTAAACCTGCAGCAACTCAGGTCAGATCCAATTTGGATCTTATTTTGTAAAATTTCAACTTGAAATTGCAACAGTTCAGTGCCAGCTGGTTTTGAACTCACCCAAATTCAGACTGAATGCAACTCTAGGCTTCCCACTTGACTGTGAATGGTTTTTAGCATAGAAGATGTTATTACAATATTTCCAAGCCAGTATTTCACTTAAGCATTTCCACTGTCACCCTCAATTTCGACATTTGTAAGGATTCTGGAGATATTGCAGCTAAGTGTGCATTTTTATGATTATGATAGCTAAATAATCCAGGCTGAGCTTCCATAGGCTTATTTTATCAAGTATCTCTTGAATAGTCAAGAGTGAATATTGCAGGTTGATATCTAGGTATTGCAGATGGTGGTCTCTTAATTTCCAAGTCGTCCCTACAGAGTGGTCTTAGCTAGGCTCTTGTACTAGGGCTATGTTACCAATTCTACACTTAAGTTGATGGACTTCTAGTACCTAAATAACCAGCTTCAGTCTCTGTACTGCCCAGGATAGCATAGTCATATGCTCTAATAACAGCGGTTGTATACGATATGTTTTGTCCATGTGGGCATGAATCCATTGATTTTAAATTAATCCACCCCTGGGGATGTTAAAAGAATAAATTAAAGATAATCCCTCCCATTAGCCCTGTCTTGAAGTATGTAGAAATAGCAGACTACAAGGGTGGATGCACAACCATAGAAGTAATTGGTTAGCTCTCGTCGTGCTCAAGAGGCCATTGGACATCAGATACACCATACCAAAGGGCTACATATCTGTCCTATAGTCGTGTTTCGGCCTTATGTACGACACACAACGCGTCTAAGTTCTGCTTGGCACATGAGAAAGGTATGATGATCCAGCGCCTGGCTTCTGGGCGCTTGGGAAGCCATTGCTATGAACCTGATACTGTTTGCTGGAAGTTGGTATAGTAGACAAAAGGCTAGAGGTGGAACAGTTTGATTGTGAAGTTAGTCAAAGCGAGTAGTATCCTGCATGTTCTACTGATGAGATCAAATGATAGCTTCCATCTTCCATTTTCCATCCTTCCTTCATTAACAGCTCTAGTGTTATGCATAACTCTGGTCACGTCGACATGTCTTTTCAGAAATCTGCCACATCCCCAGTTGGTCCTTTCGTCGTTCTTCATGTCACCGTCCTTTAGTTGCTTTTCCCCGCCTGCTGGCCCACTCATCCGGTTCTGAATTAATCTGCATCTTGACATTAAGAGATTTTCAGTGCAGCGTCGGCACTGGTGGTGCCCGTAAGGGCAGTGGTAAGAATCGCCAGCGTAAAGAGTTAACGGCCCGGTGCTTTGAGCATGGTTATGGCACGTGGGACTTGTCTGTGCGATCTGTGTCGTAGTACGATCCGGTGGCCTTGCGTTGTGCATTGACAGCCTTGACGAGCTTGCCCAGAATGGCATACTCCAGCTTCAGCTTGACGCTATAAACCAGGCCCTTTAGAGTGACTTGGATTGCGTAAAACCCTGAGTACTGAACTGCGACGAATGAAGCATCCATCAGGATGATAAGGATGTTGATAACCAGCAGCTGATGCAGTATACCCCAGTAACGATTTCTGACATGAGACTTGAGAAACTCAACTGTTTTGCAGATGTATAGCACTGATAGCAGAGCCTCCTGAGCAAAGAATCCGATCAACTGTATCCTTTCCATAATTTCATACCCCTTCACGAATGCCCGGGTATGGCTCGGCGCATTGGCACCAAAGGCAAGCACTGTGGTAGGGATATGGAGTACAAAAGCGTCGACGATGATCATGCACAAAATACCACGCAACAGCTTTCGACTCCGAATCAGGAGGTGCAGCCGTGACCATAGCACCATAGACTGGCCGGTCACCATGCAATACCATCCGATGCTCGCAAAAGTTAATGAGATGTTATTGTTGTGGACGACATTAGAAAGTTTGAGGATCAAGCCAAGATTATAGGGAATGATTCCAAGGGTTGCCACTAGCAAGGTCCAAAAGTAAACGTCCCTCCGTTTGAATCTGGTAAAGCAGAGAATCAGGAGCTCGACGATATTGTAGGAGGCAATAGTGGTGAAAACAGAGACAAGGGCGGACTCAAGACATGCTCTGCTAGTGTAGATACCCTCTGTGAGCCCATGGTCGCTATCCGACGCAGTGGAATTCGACATGAATGTCCACACGCTAGGAGCTGGTTACAGAGTGCATCTAGTTAGGACAGTCGAAGCGTGGTTGTAGAATTCGAAATTCGCCCTAGCACATAAAGAGCCAGAAGGCTGGGTTTTGTTAAACCCCTCGATGGACGTCGGGTGATAATGTGGCGAAATCAGTAGCTACTTTAAGCTTTTGGTCTGACAGCCTATGTTGGAAGTGTAATCTGGGCCAGATCTGGACTACGCTTTTTTTGGTTTCCTCCAGAGCCCTTGAATGATCCTGGCTAAAGTGGTCCTCTCGCGCTGGCAAGCCACGGTGGCGGATAGGCAACGGATCGTAAGGATCTAATTGGTGAGGAGTTATGGTCACGGCATTGGTCCCAAAGTTAGACACTGTACTCCAATTGAACCCTTCATAGCGCTGAACCCTTGGAGGTCTGCACAACAGTCCGCCTATGTGCTGAAGCAATTTTTGAATGCGTCGCCCGGGAGCAAGTCCTTTCCCAGCCGGTTTAGGGCCAGTTTTGAGCCGTTGGAGAATTACAGGGAGTGATTTTATGTGTGCTAAGCACCTGCTTTGAAATCTCCGATCAATGGAGTTGAGGTCGCTGTTCCGTAAGCCTTCGGCAATATCTCAAATCGTGCGAGCCACACATAAGCATCAGTTGCACTGTTTCTGTTGGTGGAATATTACCACAAGGAAAGGAGAAAACAGATTGCATTGCATCCTATAGCTCAGCCAGACAGGCGTTTTGGTTTTGCCTGTGGGACGCGCTCCCGCAGGCTCTGGCTCTGGACTAACCATGTTCTCTTGAACTTAAAATCCGCCACGCAGCATCGAAGACTTTAAGACAATGACGATTATATTCAGTGCAACATGGTGGTGTGCAAGACATATCACCGGCCTGTTCTCTCAATTCCAAGCCCGATACCACTTTTGAGGATGATCATTCCCCTATAACAGACAGAAGACGTGGTCGCCTACCATGCCTGGCAGCGACAACGGCCTCTCTGGAGGTATCTATACTAGCCGGCGGTGTCTAGATGAAGTCCTCTTTGCGACCTTCATCGGATTGGCTTGGTACAATGCACTAGAGCTCATTGTGCTTTGTTTTACAACGTTCAAACGGTGGAGGGGCGCTTACTTCTGGAGTCTTCTTGTCGCATCAACCGGTATTATCCCATACGGCCTCGGTTTATTCCTGAAGTTCTTCAACATTGTCCGTCATAATTATCTCGGATCACATACCCTGGTGACCATTGGTTGGTGTTGCATGGTGACAGGTCAGTCAATGGTCCTGTGGTCACGACTCCACCTGATTTTATTGAACCAACGAGTCCTACGCGGCATCCTCTACTTGATCATCTTTGATGCAATAATATTGCATATACCGACTGCAGTGGTTGCATACGGCACTAATGCACCAAGCCATCCTATCGCTTTTGTCAAGGCATACAATGTTCTTGAAAGAGTACAACTGGTTGGGTTCTGTATCCAAGAGACATTCCTATCCGCAGTATATATCTGGGGTACATTGAAGTTCTTAAGGCATACTGATGGAAACCGTTATCGGTACATCTTGCATGAACTCCTCATCATCAATGTGCTTATCATTCTTCTTGACGGCTCCGTGGTTGGCACGCAATTCGCCGGCCTGTATTCCGTGCAAACTACCTTCAAGGCGTTGGTGTATAGCATCAAGCTGAAGCTTGAATATGCTATCCTTAGGAAGTTAATCAAGGCTGTCAAGGTGCCTCCAACACCACAACGACGCTCACCAGACCATCCCAAACCAGCGAGCGGTACATCGGAACAATCTGAAACAGAGAAACGCACTGCAAGCCAGTACGAATGCACAGGGGCTCGCCTAAGCGTGCCGGAGGTGGCGGCGGAACCTTCAAGAGTCCTCTCGACAACCACCATAGTCTTTGCGCAAAGCTTACAGGCGATTGGGCAAGACTCCCACCGGGAAAAATACAGCGATATTTCAGCGCTGATAAGGCCCAAAGGGAACGATTAGGAAAAGGCAATTGCACTACTTCTTACTAGATGGCATCACAAAAATTGCGCCACGGATCTGTGTACATACTGTCACACCATGGATTCTCGTTCTCTCCTCAGCGTCCAGGGAGAGGACAATTGGAGTAATTAAGTGATCATTGTCCATAAGGACGACTCTCTCTTAGCTTGAGCATTCCCTGTGAGTAGTCAACTATGGCGGTACCCCGTGAATGTTAGTCGCCAAAGGGTGGAGACCTTTCGCAGGTGATATCTCACCAGGATACAGGTTCCTTTAGAGCCTAGAGAATCCCTAGGAAACGCCCTGAGCAGGGTACCTCTGGCCTGCTTATAATGGGGGAACATGGACTCTGGACTAAAACTGTTACTAGGTTATGTATAAGGAGTGATCTAGTTACACAGTTATCCTATGTAAAGAGGGCCTAAGACTAAGAGCGCCTCTTAAGCATTCACACAATTATACATACCTAAAGTATCCTTCTTTCTTACCCTCTTCCTTGCCCTCTTGACTACCTTCTTGACTACCTCTCTATCCATCTATAGGCCACTTTACTAGTAGAACCTACCCCAAACGCTTCTAATCTATTGAGTAAGTGGGTTAGATCTTCTTGGCTATTAAAGCTCTTGAGAATGAACTATCATGTTCTAGGTCTCATATCTCTGCATTGTCGGCCTCTTCCCATCGTCGTAGCAGAGTCTCATATGGCTTTTTCATCTGCCAGACATGTAAGTCTCTTGTCCGGTTGATGATACCAACTAATGCCTCGCGCTCCGCATGATCAGTAAAGTAATCACCGTACAGAGTAATAGCAATGACTGCGTTTACCAGGCAGGGTTGCACTTGTAGGTGATTCAAAGCGATACCGCATAGTTTGAAGATGATTGATCGAACTTGAGCCTCTGCTTTGCGATGAGCCGCACGATTTGCTTTTCTAAACACAGTCAGCTGCTGGAGAAAGCCATCTTGCTTCTCGATATCAGCTTACTCGAGTTGAGGATTTTCAGCAGTCAAGATCATTTGAGCCAGTTGGAAATGCTGTACTGCCGTCGCCTGGACATCGAAACTGTACCAGACGGTCGGAAATATCTGGCCTTTAGCTCGATCTGCCTTGAGTTCAAGAATAGGTTCCATTTGACCAAGCGATTCATGAACCAGTTTCTGTTCATCCAGCTTGAGTTGTGCTGTAATTCTAGTGATTAAAAAAGAAGTCCTCTATTGAGAAGATAAAGCATACTTACTCCATTCATCAGGGCGCTTTTGCCCCCAGCGCCACTGAGCGACTTTACCGACGAACATGATCATATTGTTGGTGATTGAAGCATTGCGCCAACGGTCAGAATCGAATCGTAAATGCGGGACCGTCTCCCTTGTCAATGCATAATAAATCTCTTGCCGGATGACAATCCAATATGCGGCCCTAGCAAGCGAATGGTCTAGCGGAGAGGCGATCATAGAGTCAATGATCCTTTGAGTGACAGCCAGAAAGTTGACGCGTTCGTCATCGTAATACTCAGCTTCGACACTGCCTCTGCCTTCGCGAGTCTCTTCTTCCATCTCCTCGTACTGACGTAGAATGACGGCAGCAGCCATGATGTTCTCTTGGTGTGTCGGGTCCTGGATGTTAGGGAACTCGGCCAGACCAGGGATGCATTTGAGCATATATTCAACAGCACTGGACGTTTGTAGGTGGGGGAGTAGCTGCCCACCATATAGAATCCCGCGGCGTGTCCTGTATTGAGGCAGTCGGCACAAGTGTCGGGCTGATACTGCAAATATAGCATATCGAAGAGTTGGGCAGTGCTGAGCCCGACAGGGGACGACGAACTGGAAATGCCTCCGATTGTCACAGTGATCAAACTGGGAAGATTAGTACGTGTTGCATTGCATGGTAAGAGTGATATCTCGTACCCAGGGAGATACTTCCTCGATAAAGTATCGTAGTAGGCAGGATTCCTGGATACCTGCAGAAGCAGTGAGACTGGGCTGATTGCTGGAATGCGACGATGCGTCATCTTCAGCAGAACTCCTCGCGCTCCGGGACCCGTTGGCAAAGCCAATATTGAGCCCATTGCTGATATTTTCTGCTCCCGAGTAAAAAATTATATCCTCATGATGTGCGTGGTTGCTCATGGGCGACGATGCCGGAGAGGGAAAGGTAATGGGAAAAGCACTATGAGGGGAAGTCTCATCCAGATCTCCATTTTGGCCTCTTTGTGAGGGAAGGATAGGGCTTGTGACTCTCTGGCGACCATGAATGATTCCATTTGGTGAGGGTGTATGAACAGTAGATTCTCCGATGGGCCTATTAGGGGAGGCTGAATTCGGCGGATTTTCTGTCGAATGCTTCGGAGGCCTCCAAGTCTTCGGTCTGCTATTAACCCATATTTGACCCTGTGTAAAGCTCGCATCGAAATTGGCTGTTGAGCCATTTCGGAAAACTGCATCCTTCTGCACAGGCCTACAGTTAAGGCCTTTAGTTTCGCAACGTGTGCAAACTGGCCGTCGCTTGTCACCTATAGATGAGACATCAGCAGAAGACCTTAGGCACTGGCCAGGCCGATGGGTTCTTTGAAGTACATTTTTGAAGCCTCGCTATTATCGGTCTTGTTATCCTTGATTGCCTTAGACATGGGGTTCGACGGTTCGACCTCACCTCGACAGTTCGAACAGGGTACCTTAGCTGGTGGGGCATTCAGCGGCATTCTCACTTGATGTAGGTACTGAAGCCTTGTCTTGCCTTTGATATGTGGAACTCGTTGAATACAATCAGGAGAGCAACGGCAAACGGTGGTTACCATTACCAAGACATCACCTGTTGCGTGGGACTGGACTGTCTACCCCACTTCTACCCCATTTCTATCCCCCGTGGGGACAGGCGCACAATATTACTGTATTCAGAAAGTCGCGGCGCCTTGTGCTGCGAATGGGCGGGAACCTGAAAGCTAAAAGCTAACCAGGCAAAATCTCGCTGAAAGACGGACCGGACTTCGCCCGATCTGTGGGGAACACTTCCTTCAGGCTATGCCATATGTTTCGGTTGACATCAGTTGTCGAGCATAAAGCCACGGGTCCATCTACTTGGTCTTCCACCTCCATCGTCTCTCACCACAACCAATATGGCACTCCCGACTCATTTCAAGCTTAATACCGGCGCCCAGATCCCCGCCGTAGGACTTGGTACGATGCCCGCGCTGTTTTCTGCGGGCCGTAGCGGTTCTCGCTGATAAGAAATACAGGCACATGGAGATCTGAACCTGGTCAGGTACGCCAGGCAAGTCTCGTTCGCTCTCAAGAACGGATATAGTCACATTGACGCAGCATTGTAAGGTTCCCATGTCTCTTTCGCAGTGCATAGTCTTCGCTAATAAATCACAGGATCTACGGTGGGTCGTAGCAAAGAAGAAAACAAGCAAGATTTTGGGGTCTAATGGGATCGCTAGGAAACGAGCACGAAGTCGGCCAGGGTATCAAGGATAGTGGTGTCCCTCGCGAAAACATCTTCATCACTAGCAAGCTGTGGAACACCCACCAGCCTAACGTGGCGGAAGGTCTCCAAAAGACACTTGACGCTTTAGGCACGGACTACCTCGATCTCTATGTATATTAACACTCTTCTCCTTTGGAAGATGCGGCACGACTGTCGATAGCTCGGCTAACATAAACATCAGCTCATCCACTGGCCAGTCCGACTTGTTCCTGTAAGCTACTCCGCTGTTTCCCTCTATCACGACATTTACATGGCTAACTTGTATCGCACAGAACGAGTCGAGCGAGCTTCTACCAGTCAATCCCGACGGCACACGATCCATCGACCGATCCTGGGGTCAGAGTGAGACCTGGCGCCAGATGGAGGAAGTATACAAGGCCGGCAAGGTGAAGGCGATTGGCGTGGCCAACTGGTCGATTCCCTATCTAGAGGAGCTCAAAAAGAAGTGGACCGTGGTCCCTGCTGTCAATCAAGTCGAGTTACACCCTTTCCTTCCTCAGCACGCACTGAAGGAGTGGTGCGACAAGCATGGCATTCTCCTCGAGGCGTATTCACCACTTGGCTCTGAAGGTTTGTGCTCTTTGACACGCTATGCGGTTTCCATGAGGTATCGCTGGCTAACTTGGTCGTTTTCAGGCGCTCCGCTCATGTCCGATCCCGCAATTCAGGGGATTACTACCTTAAGAAGCATGGTGTTTCACCCGCCACGGTACTCATCAGCTACCACATCAACAGAGGCGTTGTTGTACTGCCCAAGTCTACTAAAGAAAATCGAATCGTGAGCAACCGTCAAGTCATCCTTCTCTCCCGGGAGGATATGGATGTGCTGAATGGCCTGGCTGTACAAGGAAAGGCGAGGCGTATCAATACACCTCTGTTTGGATGGGATCTCGGTTTCGATGACTGGTACAACCAGTGAAGTCCCCAAATTTGGTCTAGAATCGTACAATCGGGAAATTTCATTCTTCTATAGACTAAAAGATGATTTAGATGGAAATGATGAAACTGCGATCCTCCAATTTTCCCTCTGAAACATCTCATCTTTGTCTTGCCCGCATTTTCATATTTGTTTCATAGTCACAAAATGTACGAAGTGGATGAACAAAAACCCGGTCTTTGTACAGCACTATTGTTTGAACGCGAATATCATCACTATCTCATCTATGAACCCTAGACTTTGTAAGGGGGCGGGGAAATACCCTCCTTTACAGCTTTCAGCCGCAAAGCTAATAATTTGGAGGCATACCGGGTCATTGGAAGGAAACCAACCATGATCCACATGTTGGGCACTCCCGTCTCCCGGTAGGCCGTCTTGTACTCGCCTTCCTCATCTATACCCCAAATAGGTCCGCATTGGCTTGCAATCCTCTCACCAAGAGTTGCTCGAATGGAGTCGATCATGTTCGAAAATCCGGTGGCAAAGACGACTAGGTCAAACTTCCTCTCACGCCCGCCGTTTAAGATCACCTTATCTTCGGTGAACCTTTCAACAAAGCCCGGCTCCACCTTGATGTTGCCATTGATAATTTCCTCGCAAGCACCGGCATCGAAGTAGAATCCACCGTTCCGGGTCTGACCTAGTGTGGAGTTGCCAGTATCGCGCTGGCCGCGCCATGTTCGCAGACCTCGAGCGTTAAGAGCTTCGAGGAGGGGCTTGTCGAGCTCTTCGAGGACCTCAGCGGTGCGCCTAGCGAGTTCCTCGCCAGGTCCAACTGGCGTAGAGAACATGAGACGATCCTGCACCTCGAGATCGGGAAGGTTGCCATTCTTGTCGGGCGCGTATCCTCCAAGCAGGCGAGGAACAGAATGGGTCAAAGACATGACGTAAGTCGGTGACCGCTGAAGGAGGGTCACATCGATTCCCAGGCGGGCGCACTCATAAGCCGTGTCAAAGCCCGAGGATGAGGTACCGACGACGCAGACCTTCTTACCGACAAAGTCACGGGCACTCTTGTGGGCGCTAGAGTGACGGATCACTCCCCGGAAGTCAGCCATGCCAGGCACGGCTGGGATGGAAGGGACACCGCATAGCGACGTTGCCATGATGAGTTGCTTAGGGTGCAGTGTACGAGTCTCCTTGCCCTCCTTGTTAATTACAATGGTCCACTTACCCTCGGCGTCCTGCTCGGCCTTCACAACCTCCGATTTGGTCCAGACATTGAGCTCCAGAGCGGAGGCATACCACTTCATGTATAGGCCCTGCTTCTGAGCCGGGGTATATGTGGGCCAATGCCGAGGGTATTTGAAGTATGGTAAGGCATCGGGCCAGTGTGGGAAGTGCAGTGAAAGATATTCATAACGCTTCTTCCAGATATCTCCGACTTCCTCGCTGCGTTCGATAATCAGATTTTCCATACCAAGAACTTTCAAGCGTGCTGCCATAGCGAGACCACTAGAAGAAATAAATTAGGATTATTTCATGGAGCTCACATGCTTGGGTTCTTACTTTTGACCACCGCCGATGATCAGCACCTCGGGGTCAACACTGTTGATGGCCTCGGCTCTCTAACTCTCCCAGCTAGTGATACCGGTCATGTGCCCATCTGGTGCGGCCTGCTCGGGGAACTGCTTGAGGCTTTCGGCAACAGTGTGCATGGTATAAATTCTCCAGCCATCCGGAGTGAGGACTGCATTGATGACGGCCGAAGCAAGGACAATATCAGTCTCGAAGGATACAACAAATTGTAGCTGAGAGAAGTCAGGGTAAGGGCGAAACACCGAAGGCGCAGGCTCGAGGAAGTCGAAATTTCTAGCCTTGGTTTGAGGCAAAAGGTCGGTAGCGGCCTTTAAGATGACCTCTCTGAAGTTAAATGTGCGGAAATCCCAGGTGAATGAGAGCTTGTCACGCCACACGCCTGTATATTCTAAGTCAGCTAAAGCCCAGATTTCCAATCTTGTTGCTGAAAGGCTCTCACCATAATCGAGGAACAGCCCAGCGAAAGCTTGCGCATCTCCCTTTGATGTTGCTGTAGAGAGACGGGCTATGATGCCCTCGGCCTCCTTCTGAGCATCGCAGTGGGTGGGGATCTCAACGCCTAAGATGTCGGTAGTGGGTAGACTGTGGTTGTACCTGAAGTCGTACATGAAGTCGTCCGCGACGGGCTTTAGGATCTGGTCGTGGTTGAGCACCGCCTTCTTAGACTGGAGGTTAGCTTTAGAGGCTGGATCGGTGCCAGCGGCTTCTTGAACGTAAGGTGCCATTTTCTCTTATTATTCGGGGAGAAGATGTTGAAAAGGTTCTTTAGGCAATGTTCACAGCCTGATCTCGCGAAAATACTAATGCTTCAGAGCTGCAGATATACGCCGTTCAACGACTGTTTATACGTCTACTATATATCTACAGTAAATAAGCCCCACAAAATGAGAAGTTAGCCCACTCAAATATCCGAACCAGGAAAGCCTCGCCGCATTTCAACCGTATTTAGTCTAATATGAACATCATTCACATGACTTGACAACACCCCGCACTCTGCACGATTGACCTTTGCCTGTCTTAATCTTTGACTTGCTGTTTCTGGGTACGCCCTGCAGGGATATATCCCCGCGGCGAGGATCGCCCGATATTGCCTCTCAGGGTCTGAGTGACTGGGATGCAGCCGCTTATTCACATCGGACAACACGATGGACCGGTGGCAGAACTCGGATGAAGCCGATCCTCGTCTAAGACTGGCGAAAAGCAATGGCAACAGAGAGCGTCTTAGACCTGTCAGGATAAGTCCTTTTGGAAGTCTATGTACACATACGCAGAGTATGATTACGGATTGCATCCATCAAGAATGTAGTCACATAAAAGCGAAATGTGACAGATAAGGTGCGTGGCAGCTCCTTTCTCCCCCAATAACAGTCATGCTATTCATATCTCCAGCTAATTCAGTCCTACTATTATAGTGCCATTCTCACTCTTGTTCACAATGCTTGTTATGGCTGCACACTTAACAATTATTAAGAATTTCATCCACACTAAAGGACGACTTGCCGCAACATAATATCGAACCATGAAGAGGGGATCAAGCAAAGAGTCAATAACATGAAAGATATCATGTTCATCATTAGCACACAGGACTGGCCGATCAGGCTAGTCAGGACTATAGACCATTCGAACAGTAAATGTCCTAACAGCAGTAAATTGTGCTTTATATATAGCATCATGGCCGTCGCAGAACCAGGAACACCTTGGAGATGTACTCCATAGCGGCTACACAGTCCGTTTTGATCAGAAGTTCTTTCCTCTTGTGATATATGCAATCGCTTCCTAACTTACTCCATGATGGGTAGACCGTTGTCGTCGAAGTATACTGGCACACCCTTGCGGAATGAGTACTGCAGAGCAGCGCAGATCTTTCCCGCCTCGAAGGCATCCTCTGGTTGACAAGTCAAGGGCTTGTCATCGAGCACCGCATCGGCGAACTCAGCAAGGTCAGACAGGAACGTCGCATCGAAGAGAGTGAATGCATCAGGCACAGACTGTGTGCGAATACCGTGGTGGTCGCGAATCTCAACATTCGAGTTAGCGCTGATGATCAAATGACCCTTGGTGCCACACAATCGAGTCGTGTCCTCGAAACCGCTGGTGAGCGTGCGACCGAGGTAGGTCTTGAAAATCTTGCCATTGGCAAATTCCACCAGGCCCTATGCGTTGTCGGCGTCGCCATACTGGGCCAAGTCCCCGTAGACAGCCAGCTGGCCGAAGGCGATGACTCTATTGACTTGCTTCTTGGGGTTGGAGAGGCCTGACTTGGCATCTAACAGGTATCGTCCGGCGTCAACCTAGTGCCGTGTTAGCAGATTGGACAATCAGTGAGACAGAGAGAAGAAAACTGGGACTGACGGTGTGGATGCCAAAATCAAGGAAGATGCCACCAGACTGCTCAGAAAAGGACACGAAGAAGGCTAAAAGCAGAATGGTCAGTCTATCAGCCTATGCGAAGTCAACGACTGGAGGCGATTAAGGCCATACCATTGGGGTCTGCTTGATCGATACCAGTCGTCTCAACAGCGTGGATTTCACCCAGGTCTCCATTGTCGATCAGGGTCTTAGCCTGGCGGTAGGACTTGTCATCTGTCGTGAGTCAGTCTCCGAACTCTGCAAAGCGTGGGACCTAGTGTTACTTACATCGGCGAGTGAAGGGAACGAGGAACTTGAGGTCAGACCTAGACGCAGACTTCTCGACCACTGCTTTGGTGGTAGCAATGTCCACAGAGATGGGCTTCTCGCACATGACGTGCAAGCCTAGATCAAGGGCCTGCAGGATTAAGGGCGCGTGTGTAGCTGTCGCGGTGCAGATAAGGATGGCCTCGGCGCCGCTATTCCTCAAGCATTCTTGAGGGTTTGAAAAATACTTGACAGACGTGGGCAGATTCTCTGCCGCCCATTTGCCAGTGCCTGGCTTTACATCGCAGACCGCGACGAGTTCGATCCGAGGCTGCTGGAAGGCGAGGATGCGGGCTCGAAGGACTCCCAGGCGGCCGAGGCCGAAAAGCGCAAACTTGACACGGCGGTCCCAGGTCGACATAGTTCAGAGTCTGTTGTGAGGTGACGTTCTCGTATTCGACGAAGACGCGGTGGTGGTCGTTGCGATGTAGGCAATGTAATGTCGAGAGCGATTGATGGAAGGATGTAAATGTCTAGTCAACTGGTAGATTGCAACCTTGCTCCATCGGAGATCGGCGTTATTTATTAACCTCTGGTCTCTGCTCTGGAAGAGATCCATACTCTCCGTCGGCGCACCACAGGCTTCCCCGCATGATAGTTACTATCCGAATCCGATACATCGTCCTACTAGACGGCTCCGACCGACCCCGTCGGGCCTTCTGTATGGCCGCCAGCACCCCCCATCCCGGCCACGGCATCGCCCTGCCAGGCCCCCCCCAGCCATCCAATCCAGGCCATCTGGGTATTGTCAGAGAGCCCTCAATCTGGGCTATCTGATGGTGGGAAGCATGCACCCTAGACCTGATAGGGCCAGGGAGAAATAGAAGGATTTCTCTTAGAATTTGAAATTTATAGAGGTTTAGGGGGGGGGACCTGGGATATCTAGTAAGGGATACTTATTTGGGGTAGGTGCGTTACTGATCATAATTTGGAGTAGTACGGCGGACTATTTGTATAAAAGGAACTTTTGGTTTTTTTATAATAATTATATTTCACCACAACTGCCCTTAGTATAGTTACATGCACTGCACTATCCCTAGTATAGCAAGATTAAAACATCTTACAGAGGTAAGCAGATATTTAACTAAAAAGCTTTAATTCTTAACTAATACTAGGTAGCTTAGTTAGGTAAGCCTGGTAGATATCTAGGTACATAATAGATAATTAAATAGAAACCTTATTATAACCAGAGGTGTTCTATGCCTGTAGTAAAATAATATATTAATATAATACCCTAAGGGGTATATAGATATCTATACTTTTTTATATAGTAACTAATATATTAAGATCTCAGGTCTTAGCATGAAAAAAAATATCCTTAGATAATAATAGCTAGAAATAAACCTAGGACCTCTAGATAATAGATTTTTTTTAATATTTAGTATAACCTAGCATACTTAGTAGCTAATTTATATAGGGGTACCTTATTAGTAATAGTTCCTTAACCTTATCACACCTGAATATATTCTTGTAGTGTGGTAAGGCTATATACCTATAAAAAATAAAAGAAATCTAGACAGGGAGGATACCAATATTAGGACTATATAGCAGCTAATTACCTAAGTATTATATACTAATCTAACCTATTTTGCTGTATAAATATATCTATAATAAAACTAAGATAATCTAGAGCCTACAGACTGTTAAAAATAACTAATTTATAGCTATAAATTAATTAAAGCTATATATTTAAAGGATATACTACTTAATATAGTACTTATATCTATAAGGTTTACTATTACCTTTAAAAGCTATATTAATTATATAACTAACCTAGTGTCCTAGCTAGATATAACTTTACTAATATCTAATATAGACTATAAGTACTCTAGTAAGCTTAAGCTCCTAGCAGGCCTTGCCTATTATATTAATAAGGTTAAATATTATACTTTACTATAAAAAAGACCCTATCCTTAATACTTTCAGCCTTATAATTAATAATAATATAATCTATACTAAGGCTTATCTCTTACCTAGCCTTAATATTAGTTTATAGAAATAAATACTAACTCTCCCAGCACTAATAGTTATTAGGATTTCTATAGAAAGGAATTCTACCTACTAGATAAGTAGCTCTAAGAAATATTAATATAAAATAGTCTAATAAAGGGAAATATATAATAGCTAAATAACTTAAATATTAAATTTTTAGTATAATAATATCAGGAGGTTAAGCTTAGATAATAAAGATATATTTATACTATATACTTACCTATAGCTTACTTCCTCTATGTTTAGCTAGTAGGTATATCTAAAGTTACTAACTATCTAAGTAGCCTATTAGTCTCTACTACCTTAGCCTCTACCTCTATATATACCCTCTCTACCTCCTTATCTTACTACTATAGTTCTTTAGATTACTATTATAGGTCCTCTATAAGGTCCTGATATAAATGCTATTACTAAAGTTAACTATCTATCTCTAGTAGTATACTATTTATTATTAAAGGAGATAATTACTAACTCTTAGTCTTAGTTAAAGCTTAGGAAGATAATTACTAACTTACTACTTTAACTAAAGCTTAATAGGTTAGTCTTATCTACTAAGAGATATTCTCTCTTATCTTAGAGGACTCTAAAAATAAGGTATTATCCTTTAACCCTTTCTTTATTAGCCACCTCTTAATAATTAG